AAAACCGGTTTCGACCGCCGCCTCGAAGACAGGCCGCGATGTTACAGCCTCCTCATAGCTGGTGGCCCTCCCCGCCCCCAATTCACCCCGGTTTGATGGCTGCCTCTAGGAGCCGGCATTGCTTGTACGGCCCTTACCTCACATCATTCGGATCCCGCCCGGTGAGCTTGCGAATATTCTCATCCACATTCTTTAGGCTCTCTTTGGCCTTTTCCAGCTGCTCCTGCAAAGTTCTCACTGCGACCGCCATCTTCTCCCCGCAGCAGGCTTCGAGACTGCTCCACAGGCCTCCCCTGACTGTGTCGCGCCGCCAGAGGCGAGAAGACTGACAGCTGGGCTCAGCCAATGACGGTAGACGTTGTTTTTGGCCTCAACCACTCAGCAACCGGAAGGGGGAGAATCTGCCGGTCTCTGTGACTCTGGGGCAATGAAAAGTCCGTCAGGCGGTCCCCCGCACCCCCCCGCCCATTTAGCTGCGGGCTGCTGGGCTCTGCTTCTAACGCAGTGCCGGGGTGGGTCTATGAGTCCTTGGTTCTCAGAGATGCGGGCTCGTAGGTGTGCTCTCTTGGAGAGGACTGCCGAGTTTTGCAGCCCTTTTAACTTATGCCAAGACGAGTTTTAGGTTGTCTTAGCCACTTAATCACATCAAAGTGGGCCCGAGGCGAGTGTATTCTCCCACTCCTTATCAATGATTAGATTAGGAAAGGGTGCGGCCGTTGTGTGGTGCGCATGCCCAGAGAGAGTGTGGGGGGTGCAGGCTTCCCTAGATTCGGTTAAACCAAAAGGGGCAGAGGGAAGCAAAGAATGAAGAAACAGGAAAAGTCCTTAATCCTAATCTAATAGCTAACAGTTATTTCAGGACATTGTATGAAACGCTTTACATGTGTTATGCTCTCAAAAGCTTGAGTAAAATGCCTTTTTTTCTTGATAAGGAAATAGAGTGTGGGAACACTGTTACTGTCCCTAGGTCTTGCCAACCTGGAATCACAGTCACATCAGACCCTGTGCAAGGCTGTGCTAGAAGGAAAAAACGACGATGAGACAGATGAGGCAGACATTAGCCTCTACGCCTGGCCAGAGCTGGTTAAAGATGTGGTCCAGGGAGCGGTGCTATTGTTAGTTGTGTGTGTGAGATTGTTGTCAACCTCTGGTTCTGCTCTACCTGCATTGCCACCAGAAATATATTTGCAAATATCTTTGCAAATTATAGCTCAGAAAACATTTTCTTACAATGTTACGAATAACCTTTGCATTCGCATTTTTCCATCTATCAGGCAGGCATCATACTGGCACCCCTCCTGGCACCAATCTTTAGCAGGCCAACTGGATTTAACCCCAGCCACTATTATAATTCACCAACTTTTAAATGCTCCTCTTATGTATGAGCAGTAACCTAGGCTTTGAGGATAAATCCTAGAACAAAATAGTGGAGGTTCCTGCTTCTCTGGAGTTTATAAACTCTTCAGGGAGCAAAGATCATTCGTGTACTTATTCAACAAATATTTAGTGAGTGCCTATTATGTGCAAGACAGTATTCCAAGAACTTGGGTATATCAGTGTACAATATAGATCTTTACTCTCAAGGAGACTGGGAGCAGAAAAAGTATGGAGATAAAGGACAAACATGAGTAAATTATGTAGCATGTTAGTGAAAGAGCAGAATATTCCACCCCAAAATATGCCAGGTTGGCATATGAATTATTTTGAGTTGAATGCAGTTAAGACCCAGCAGATTAAAGGAAAATGTCTAGCCCTGACTGGTGTTGCTGTTGGGCATCATCCTGCAAAGCAAAATATCACTGATTCAATCCCTGGTCAGGGCACATGCCTGAGTTGGGAGTTCCAAGCACATGAGAGGCAACCAATATGTGTTTTTCTCCATTTCTTTCTCTCTCCCTCCCTCTCTCTCTAAATAAATATTAAAAAGAAAAAAAAAACTTTTACCTCTTCCTAACTACCTAAAGTAATTTAGTTAGAGGGCCTGGTCAAGGAAGAGAGAGAGATTACCAGAGCTAACTTTCCTTTAACTAAAAATAAATTTACTTTTTAAAAATAAAATAATTGACATTGGTTAATAAGATTGTATGTTTCCAGTGTACAATATTATAGTATATAACTTGAGAGAGAACTTTTTATCTGAAAGGCTTACCTGCATAGCAAGGCAAACATCTATCTGTTTACCAAATATCTGCTCTTCTTCCTGTGGATTGTCTTCCCTTCATTTGAAGCCCTGGGTCCCTATCCCATTCCTTAAGTTAGGACAGCATATAAACCTCAATTGCCTAACTGCCTTTGGGGCCTCATATTCTTATGGAGCTTTAATAGTCATGAAATTAAATTCATTTTTCTCCTGTTAATCAATTGTGTCAACTTCATTATTAAACCAGCCAACAAAACTAAAAGAGTAGAAGGAAAGCTTTTCCACCCCAACACTGAGAAACAGAGAAGTGTTATTGAAAAAACAAAGTAAAGATAGGTAAAAGGGATGAAGATTGATGAATATTTCTTTCTGATTGTGAGCATATTTGATGTAATTGATCCATGTTAGAATCCTATGTCATAAGCAGTGTATGAACCAGGAGAATGTGGTAACAGTAGATCCTAACACCAAATAAAACTGTTTCTGTTAGATAGCAGCTAGGAATGGGCGGCTGGAGAGGAAATAAAGCAGGGGCCCTGTCCAGTACAATCTAATAAAGAACTCAAAACAGGAGGCTAGAAACAAAAGGTAGACATGTCTCACCCATTGATTCAGCAGTCCTGAGCCCCGTCTGATAAGATTGCCAGATGTTTGGAACACCACAAGCAAAACTATAATAGCGCCAGAGGAGGGGAGCCATTGAAATTCTGTGTGTATCGTCTCCACTAGCTGGGAAAGAAAACCTTTGTAACTGTCCCAAGGTCTGGAATGGAGAGGAGGAGGGGGAACCTAGAAACTGACTAAAGTATATAACCACTGAACCCCAATAGTTGGCACACTCAGATTAGCTGAGTGCCCAGTTGTGGCCAGATGAACAAGTGTATAGAACAAACTTACTAACAACTTTATTTACTCTCTACCTGGGGTATTCAGACTAGCTGGGTGCCTACCTATAGTTTTGTGCTCAAGTGTATTTGATAAATATTTTTGCTATCTCATTTCCACTATTTGTGCTGTCGCTGGCCTGAATTCTCTTGCAAGCAAGGCAAGAACTGAGGAGGGGGATCCCCCTGACTTGGGTCTCCCCAGTAACGTTTCTATGAGAAAATGCTTTTAAAGTTAACTGAAACCAGGGTCTATTCCTGTTTCCAAAGGATCTGTTATTTGGATTGTGGACATTTTAACATAGTCTGCTTTATGGGGTGGGTAGGGGGAGAGGAATTAGTAAAATGCTGTGTTCAGTATTTAGTAGGTGTTTAATGAATGTTTCCCCTCTATTCTTCAAAATATTCTAAGAACTGCCCTGGCGAGATAGCTCAGTTCTTTAGGGCATCTATCGATATTCCAAGGTGGTGGTTTCAGTCCCCAGTCAGGGCACATATAAAAATCAACCAGTGAATGCATAAATAACTGGAACAACAAATTGATGTCTGTCTGTCTGTCTGTCTCTCTTTTCCCCATCCCCAATCAATAAATAAAAAAATTCAATATATTCTAATACCCTGTTATTACTGAAGTTTGATAAATCACCTTTGTTAAGTTGATTAATTGCTTACTCTGACCTCAGTAGTGAGCTTCGATTCCTTCTGTTCCTTGATGGTGATGATGAAGGAAGAATGCAATTGGGACATAAAGGACCTGACTTCACACATAAGAAATCTTAGTGCTGGAAAAATTAAGATTATGGTTGCAAAATTACACTATCATTTTTTAAAGCTTAGGTGGAACTTTTATGCTTGACTTATGTGATGATCAAATAAACTGATCTAAACATTAGAAGGGGCATGTAAAAAAAAGGCACTATAGTTTTGATTATGGAACATGATCTTAAATCTTTGTGAAAGGGTACAAAGAGTGGAGAGGTTGTCAGCAATTTGAAAAAACTCAGTATGTTAATTTTTGGGAAGTGATGAATTAATTGGAAAAAATCTGCTTTGCCAATTATGAAGAAAACAACACATTTATGCCAGATTTGCCAAATTTAAGAGGTGCATTCATTGAACATATGTATTTGCACCTTTGTAGTTGTTTCACTTCTGTCACAGATTTTTAAAAAAACATCTCATTTTATTTATTTTTAGAGAGAGGGAAAAAGAGGGAGAAAAAGAAACATCCATGTGAGAGAGAAACGTCAGTTGTCCCTCTTAAGCTCCCCAACCTGGGACAAACCCGCAGACCAGTCATGTGCCCTGATGGGGAATCCAACCTGCCACCTTTTCCTCTGTGAGACAATGCCCAACCAACTGAGCTTCACCTGTCAGGTGTCACAGATTCTTATGAACTTCATTCATGACAGTTGCTTTTCTGAAGTCTTTAGCACTTTTTTCCGTTCTTCTAATCCTCTGATAAATTTGTTTTCTGGTTCAAGCATATCTTGTTCCTTGCTCACTCCCTTGTCCCTTACACCCTTTCCAGTAAACTTCCTGGTGGCAAATGGTTTTAAAGCTTTTTGCATACCTAGGCTTAATCGAATGTCGATTGAGATGAACTCAATGTCTCTAAAACGTATGGCCTGAAAAATTGATATATTCACTCTTTTTAAAGAATTTTTGAAGTATTTGAGCCAAATTGACAACATGCTGGTAAGCAAGATCCCATACGAAAAAGTATTATATATACCGCAGGAGGTGAACCCTTTTGAAGAAGCAAATAGGCATTTTTATAGGAAGTTAACACAGAGGGAGCAGTGACAGCTCCTTCTGTATTATCCCATTCCGCCTGCCTCCGCAATATCACCACCAGCTGTTCATTCCAGGGAAGGAACTCTGTGATCATAGAGCTGCCTGAATGCCGGGATAGAGCGAACCGGAAGTTGTTTTTTCGCCCCCCAGCCCGGGGGCCGGATTGGGTCACCCCAGGTTGGGTTTGGTTCCGGCAGCTGTCAAACTCTTGGCGTTCCTGGGGCGGGCTCGTCCCTGTGCAGGGCTCCCTCCAGTATCAGCCTTCAGGAAACAAATTGACTTCCTCGGTCTCCTAGCAACGAGGGACTGGCTGCAGTCTGTGGGAGCTGTGGCACATTCCAAATCGCTCAGGCGCTAGCCGGAACCCAGGGGCCCGGCCCAAACGGGAGCCGAAAACCAGAGCTTGCAAGAATAAGCAGGAAATGGCGGACGAGGCGTTGTTTTTGCTTCTTCATAACGAGATGGTGTCTGGAGTGTACAAGTCCGCGGAGCAGGGGGAGGTGGTGAGTGCTGCTAGGCCCTTGAGACCCTATTGCAGTGACACTCTTTGTTTTCCCCTCAGTTCTTTCCCTCAGCCCCTATCCCATCACCACCCAACGCCTCCTGAGGTGTAGACAAGCTGGTCTACCTGCTGGTATCGTAAGCCCTAGAACCTGTCAGCTGTCTTCCGTCTTTTTCCTTTTCTCTCTTCTCTTTAGCATTTTCTACTATTTGGTACTGGGGGTTTTTTTTGTTGGTTTTTTTTTTGTTTTGTTTTTTTGTTTTGGTCCATTTCCATACCTGTGTCCTGCAGGCCGCAGATTTTCTTACTTTTAGTGTTGTCTCTACCGTGACTTATGGCAGGGTCCCCTACTTAATTATTCTGCCATTTCCAGCACTTCTGAGCCACCCACTGCGCAGACCTGCTCCAGTCTAAAAGAGCTGTCCCTCCTTCCTTTATCCCAAACTCTTAACACCACTCCACACGCAACCCGAAGACAGAAGCCTCATGACAGTTGAGGTCAAAGCGAAAGAAAGTTTGCAGGCATTACTATAGTTAGGAAACTAATTAATTAATTTAAAAATATTTAGTGCCCATTATGTTAGAGCTAGTTTTCTAGGTGCTGGGGGTACGGTAATGAAGGAAACAATGGCCCCAGCATTGCAGAGGTTACCTCTTAAACGTGGCAATCCTTATTCACGCATGGATTGATTCAGAAAATACTCAGTTTGTATTGTGGGCCTGTCGCTGTGCTCGGTGAATAAAATAAAACCCCTGCCTCACCGTCATTGGGGAATAGGGGTTTGGTGAATAATTAAGGTAATTAGGTATAGAATCATGGCGTTTAAACAGAACTTTTATAAATGAGATATTCCAAAGTTATGCTCAAATTAGAAGCACTTTCTATATTGCTGCTGGTAAAGAGTGGAAGTGGCTGTAGGAAAAACATCCTAGGCAAAGACAAAGAAAGACATAGAGATATGAAAGAGTGTGAAGTATTTAAATATGCGTAAGTACACATATTTTATTGTGACTAGATTGAATGATGGAGAGTGAAACATATTGTGAGCTAAAACCAGAAAGAGCCTTGTATGATTAAAGAATTTGGACCGCTCGGTGGAAGATTTAAAGGGTTTTTAAGAAGGGGAATGACATAGCCCATTTGTATTTTAGAAAGCAGGGCAGGCTGGAGAGGGAAGATCCTTGTGGTGAGAAGATCCACTTATTGCAGGCGCCCAGGCAGGAGATGATGACAATCTGAATTAAGATAGGAATAGAGAGAAGGGGAGTGAACAAGTTTGAGAACTAGGAGGTAGAATCTCTAGGACTTGGTTAGGTATAGGACTGAGAGTTGAAAATTATTCCTAGGTTTTTAGCTTGAGGAATGGGGTTGGTAGGAAGGGAATAAAGGAGAAGAAAGAGATGAAGATAATGACTTAATTTTGGACAGGTTGAAATTTTGATTCCTATAGGATATTCAGGAAGAGGTATTGCCAGTTTTTAAACTATAAGAAGATTAGTATCTTAGTCTGTTCCAGCTGCTGTAAAAAAATACCACAGATGGAGTGGCTTATAACAACAAACATTTATTTCTCAAAGTTCTGGAGGCTGGAAAATTGAAGATCAAGATACCAGCAGAATCTGTTTCTAGTGAACTTCTGCTCCTGGTTCAGAGATGTCTTTTGGCTGTGCCCTCACACAGTGGAAGGGGACTCACTAGCTTTCTGGGATCTCTTCTTTAAGGGTGCTAATCTCATTCTTGAGGGCTCTCATGATGGAATCACCTCGCAAGAGTCCCACCTCCTAAAGCATCACATTGAGGGTTAGGGTTTCAATATATGAATTTGGGGGGACACAAACATTCAGTCTATGGCATATGGGCATGATGTATTGGTAGATATCATTAGGAAGACATCAGGAAGAGTACTAGAAATGAAGCAAATTCTATTGTAATTCAGATCCATCTGTAATAGAGATTTTTTCAAGTTACAAATTTTTAAATTTGCCATCATCAACAACCAATAGTTGTTAATGTTTATCATCTGTGTTAAGTGCTGAGTAGCAGACATTTGCTGTTTGTGCAAAGGTAGCCTTCCTTTTCCCCAGGAATAATTAGTAGCATACCCCTTTTATTCTTTATCATGCTGTCCCTGTTCCACCCAACCCCCAACATGTGCCGTCAGTTCTTTTCACTTTCTTTCTCCAATTTCTCTCTTCCAGCTCTTGTCCAGGAAAATCACCTTTTTTTTTGTTTTAATCCCTCTTTTCCCTAATGTATTAACCCAAAAAGAAAACAGAGCTGTTGTAATCGTGAATGGTAATTTAAAGAGGTGTGCTAGTCATATATGAGGAAAGAAATTCATAAGTTTTGAATCACTTAAACCAGTCTTGAATATTAGAATTCATATTGCAATCAGGGTGTAATTTTCCTTTTTTCAGGTTATTAAATTGTTTATTGTATTGCATTTACAAAGAAAACAGACCATGCATCCAGCAGAAAGAATAAATCAGCAATTTTCAACCAGTGTGCAGCAAGAATTTTTAAAACATGTAATAGCTGACTAGTCAGCGGCACTGATCTCTTTTTCCCATAGATCTTAAAATAAAAATATGACAACAGCCAACACAATAGCTGTCTGGTGTGAATGAATCAAAATTACACCTATTTTTTGTCAGATTGGCAAAAAATATATATTTTATTGTGCTGCAGAATTTTAGTAATTGGTCTGTGTGTGCCATGAGACGAAAAAGGTTGAAATAGCTGGTTTAAACTAAAAATAACTTTTACTATTGCAATTTGTTTATGGTGGAGGGAAAACATAAAGTACATATAAACAAAATGATTTTTAGAAAGTTATGTGGTAGTCTTTTTTTTAATCCCCACCTGAGGATATGTTTATTGTTTTTAGAGGAGGAAGAGGGGTGGAGAGACAGAAAGAGAAGGAGAAAAAGAAGGAAACATTAATGTGAAAGAAAAACATAGACCGGTTGCCTTCCGTAGGCACCCCGAACCAGGACTGAACCCAAAACCTAGGTATGTGCCCTGATCGGGGATTGAACCCACAACCTTTTAGCACATGGCCAGAGCTAAAAAGTTACTTGGCAGTCTTGATGATTAGAACACACCTTGGAATCAGGGTGTAAGAGGGTTCATTGTGGCCCTGGCCTGGTAGCTAAGTTGGTAGAGCATCGTTCCATGTGCCGAGGTTGTGGTTTTGATCCCTGGTCAGGGCACATACATGAATCAACCAATGAATGTATAAATAAATGGAATAACAAATCAATCTCTCCCACACCCCCACTTCCTCTCTTTCTCTAAAAATCAATCAATCAAAAAATTTTAAAAAGGTTCTTCATTGTGTTAGTGGCTCTACTTTGTGTGCTTCAAATTTTTTAATAATAATAATAAAGGTAGAAGAATGACACATAATCTTTTCCTCCAGAAATGCATTTTATATATCTTTTTAGACATAAAGTCATAAGTTTTGAAATGAAATAAAGGACCAATGTTCTTACCCTCCAAGTCAGGGATTTTCAAACTATGTTAAAGAGGAATTAAATCTTTAAGAACTGAATAATTGGGTGCTTACCTTTATGGAGAATAAGTATTTTAAAGAAAAGTTAATGGATAAAATATTTTCAGGTTTTTTTTTAAACTTTGGTGCCTACAAGAGAGCACTCACATGTGCCAAAGGGAATGAATAAGTAGTAATATCAGAAGGTATTTACCAGGGCTTATTTTAAAAGCTCATGTGATCATAGTTAGTCTTTTAAAATGTCTACATATATAAACATACTTCCTGCTAATCAATATGTTCCTGGGTGATTCTACAAAGAACAGAGTGTTCTACAAAGAGTCGATCATTCTACAAAGCATCCTGGCTCATAGGTGCTCATTCTGTCTGAGCATGTTTGGGAATGACTATGGAGAATAACAAAAAAACCAAGAATAATGATATGTACAATATTAAATGTATGTACAGAGTGTTATTGCAAGCTTAGGGCCCACAGGAGTATCGGGGAAGGTTTCTGGGAGGATGTGATACTTGAGAGAAATTTAAAAGATGAACAGCTTAGGGAACAGCATTTACAAAGGTATGGAGGCAGAAGAAAGCATGGAACTCTGGACTTGCTGCAGAAATTTCAGAGTGGTCGAAGGAAGAATGTTTGTGGATATGTGGCTGTTAGTGATTCTGCTTAACTAGCTGGGGGTCATTTAAGGAAAGGCACATCATGTCATGCTAAGTAGTTTGGGCTTGATTTTGAAGAAAGGGAAAGAAGTGCTGCAAGATCCAGTAGAAATTTAACATGATTTGTTTTTTAGAAAGTCTATACCAGAAATACAGAAAATAAATCAAAGGAAGAAAAAACTAGACAAGGAGATCAGTGGGAAGGCTCTGACTGAAAACCAGGAGAGAAATGGTAAGAGCTAACTTAAGCAGTGAGGATGGAGAGAGAAGATGTATTTTGGAAAACATGTAGGCATAGGCTCCGCAGGACTGGACCGCAGTGTCTGTGGAGAGGTTGGGGGCAAAGAGGGGAAGAAAATGGAAGTCTTTTGGGTGGAGTATCTAGGTGAATGGTGATGCTGTTAATGAAGTTCAGGAATTCTGGAGGAAGAGCCAGCTAAATATGCCTAATTTGAGGGACCTGTGGGACCTCAGGATGTCTGTGTCCAATAAAGTCTGTACTAGAAATACCAAGTTAGTAGTCACAGCCCGTAAGTGGAGTACAAAGTTCTTTGGAAGAAAGTTCAGAAAATAATGAAGCCTATGATGTACTTCTTAGTGAGAGATAAACAGGCTTCAAAATATATAAAAAATCCTGCCCTCTTGGAACAGTATTCTAGCAGAGTGGGGATGGAGGAATATGGCAATATAAAATTAGTAAAATGTGTATATTGTGTGTTAAATGGTGAAAAAAGTTCTTTGGAGACAGCTTAATTATTGGTCATCCCAAACCTGGTTTCTGATTCAGTAAATTGGAGTTGGGATTACAGAATTTGTCATTTTTACAAGTTTCCTTGTGATAGCAGTGTTGCTGGTCTTGAAAATCACACTTTGAAAATCACTAGGCTAGAGAGTTGCTGAAGGGGAATGATGTTGCAATTTTAAAGAATGGTTAAGATGGGCTTCATTGGTAATGGTGACATGTGAGGGAAGACTTAAAGCAAGAGAGCTGGGCTTGTGAATATCTGGAGGAAGTGTTGCCTGTGCAAGATCCCTGAGAGAAGGGGATATCTGGCATGTTTAAGGACAGCAAGGAGACCAGTGCAGCTGGAGCAGAGTGGGTGAACAAGAGTAGAAGGTTGAGGTTCAAGAGGTGCATGGGTCTGCATGGTATAGGTCTTTGGAGGTCATCCAGAAGGTTCCGGGAGTCCAGCATAGGGACAGTATTTAAATCATTAAGACTGGATGAAATTGTCAAAGGAAGAGCAAAGCAATTGCATGATTCAAGCCATAGATTGGTAGGGTCATCAACTTAGATGCACTGAGAGCTGGAAAGCCTGGATAACCCTAAGAGACATTTTAATTAAAGCAAGAAGCAATAGAACTTAGTGACAGCACAAAGCAAATGACTGACGGAAAAAAGTCAAAGGTGATATCAAGGTCTTTGTTTGTTTGTTCATTTGTTTGTTTTATAGAGAATTTTATAAGAGTCTATTTGAGTCAAAACTGAGGACAATTGCCAGGAAGAAAGATCTCAAATGCTCCTAATACAAAGTTTTATAACTGAGAGAAGAGGAATTGCTGAAAAAGGAAAAGTTAAAAAAAAAAAAAAGGCAGGGGGGGAAGTAATTAAAAAGAGCTTCAGGATTTCTGAAAAGTAAAAATAAGCAACAGTTCCCTATTTATCTTCTGCCTTATGAAAATGATTAGTACTAAGAAAATTCACTTTTTCTTATGTTTCAATGAAGAAAGTATAAATGTTTACATTGATATTTTTAGCCAACATATTAAAACAATTTTGAATATCTACATTCTGGGATTCTAAAAGTATTTAAAGCTTTTATTTTTTTTTAAATAGGAAAATGGACGCTGTATTACTAAGCTGGAAAACATGGGGTTTCGAGTGGGACAAGGATTGATTGAAAGGTGAGCAGTCTGGATTTGAAAATTTTCTTCCAGGTGGGTTATGAACAAAGATGATCTATTTCAAAAGATTGCATAAAACTTGAGATACTTTAATTTTCATTCCCAAATTTTGGTCTTTGTTTCACAAATTAAAATATCTTTTTAGGTCTTATTTTAACTCAGTTTTTCAACTTTTATGTTTTAATATTTGAAGAAAAAAATATATTTTATGTTTTAGACTTTTTTCCCTGAAAACTTTGGTTTACTGAAACAACTATCTAAAGTCTTGTTGCATTTTCTACTTAAGGTCCATAGGTTCATTCATCTAAATGTAATTTTGTTTAACTGCATAGGGATGGAAGTGCTTTAGAGTCTATGTTTATCATGCAATCATCTTCCCATTTATAGAACAATTCTTTTTATTATTCCTTTCTGACTATCTGAATAGCTGAACTTTATGTTTTGTATAACACCACCATGATCATCCTCAGCTTTTTTGATTTGCTAGAATGAATCAGTACCTAAAACTGCAGGTTACTGTTAGACTCTACAATTAGACCAATTTTAGTCCCATAACTGTATTACAGAAGGTAAGTCTATTGTGATGGGGTCTACTTCGCTTGGTGCTTATCACTTTATGAGTCAATATTCAGTGCTGTTCTGGCATTTGGAAATTACTTAACAATTGACCCCTCCTACTTTCTTTGGAGAGAAAATACTGAATTACTTCTAGTTGATCTTTTTAGGTTTACAAAAGATACTGCAAGGTTCAAGGATGAGTTAGATATCATGAAGTTCATTTGTAAAGATTTCTGGACTACAGTATTCAAGAAACAAATCGACAATCTAAGGACAAATCATCAGGTATTTAGATAAATCAAGGCCTATTTTTTAATATAAATGTCCTATTTTAGTGATTTACTAATTATTTAAAACTTAAAATAATTTCTAGTCAACTTTGGAATGTTTCTCTTATATGTTACTAATAAGTCATTAATTTCTTCCTCTAATAGCATATAGTGAATAAAGACAAAGGGACAATTATCAGTAATGATAGCTGTTTCTTTCCCCCTAATTAAGTTATTTTAAGTTTTAAAAACTAGCAGTGTCAGAATGATAAAGGTTTTAGGATTTGGCTTCTTAGTTATTATTACATAGCGATAGTAATAAGCAGAACCACAAATATATCACATTTATATCTTTAGAGTAATTTCTGAGGTCTAATTTATAAAGCATATTTAATTCTTAAATAAGTCTTGCATTGTTTACTTGCTGTGATATATTCTATTAAAATATTTTGTGCACTTAAAATCCACTCAAGGAAATATTTAGAGAGGATTTGGCCTTTTCATTTTTTGCATAAAAAATGAAAAGAAAAAAAAAGAAAAAAATGAAAAGAATGTATTTAGTAGCTACACATCGATTTTTTTTTTCATATAACAATATCAACCTGGAAATACTTGAAATACTAATAGGAAGAAGTGACTGATTATTGGCTTTATAGATAGGAGTTAATAATATACAACTGCTAATTTTACCTGGACAAGTTATTTGTGATTCTTTTACACTAGACTGTGAGTTAAGGATAGTGACTATGTCTTACGCATCTTTATGTCTTCACTATTTAAAAGCATTGAGTGTTATAAAATGTTGACCAATTTTTCAGCTTGAACATTGCAAAACTCCTTAACTTAAAAGAAATTTTGGCCATTGGAAAGGAGACTTTTAATAACTCTTATATTGGTTTGAAGAGGTGAGTCTGCAGTGGACTGCAGACCACACTGACTTTGGATGTGTTTTTTGTTTTTGGAACAGGGCATCTATGTACTCCAGGACAACAAATTTCGTCTGCTTACTCAGATGTCTGCAGGAAAGCAGTACTTAGAACATGCATCGAAGGTATTTAGTGGAATAGAAGATTGAGAGTTTTTTAATTATGAAGAGTAGAACCATAGGGAAAAGTAAAGTCCCAGTCACAACAGACTTTTGAATTTAAAATAGATTTTACAGCCTGGCTGGTGTAGCTGAGTGGATTGAGTGCCTGTCTGTGAATCAAAAGGTCACCCATCCAATTCCTGGTCAGGGCACATGCCTGGGTTGCGGGCCACGTCCCCAGTTTGCAGTGTGCAAGAGGCAACCTATTGACGTATCTCTTGCATGTGCATGTTTCTTTCCCTCTGTTTCTCCCTCCCTTCTCCTTTCTCTTAAAAAAAAAAAAAAAAAAATCTTTAAAAACATAAAATAGGTTTTACAGTTCTCTTTTGTTTAAACTTGTTGCTGTGAAATAGGAGACAGATGTTCATCATGTTAAAATAAGATTAAATTGTAGCTAAATAGGCTTATGATGACCAATTAAAGAAACAGTATAACTAAACGCCAATGAAATGAAGATTAATGGGATTTTTGAATATAGCAGATATGTCAGAAAAGATAATCAAGCTTATAAAACTCATATTGGCTGTGCAAAATTATTGACCTCAGAGTTTATATTTATAATCTCCTTTAGTAGATTAAAAGAATTATTTTGAATATAGTTAACATTGTTTCTAAGAACACATGGTTTGTGTTAAGTATCTCTGTGTTTCTGGCTTTTGCGTAGTTTTCATTTTTCAATCTCATGTAGGAATCAATAAGTAAATAGATGTGTTGAAGAAAGATGACAAGTTTTTTTTAATTAAAAAATTTTTGAATTCTCACTCAAGGGTATTTATAGATTTAGAGAAGAAGGTGAGGGAAGAGAGAGGGAGAGAGAGAAAGATGTTGATATGAGAGAGAAACATAGATCAGTTGCCTCCTGTAACTGGGGATCAAACCCACAACCTAGATATGTGCCCCAACCGGGGATTGAACCTGTAGCGTTTTGGTGTACGGGTCACTGCTCCAACCGAGTCACCAGGCCAGGGCAAAATAACAAGTTTTAATGTAAACATTCCTTTGAAGTGATTAAAATATCTTGGGCAGTGTAAATTGCCTATTTATCTGTAAAAATTTGTCCATACCTAAATTATCTAACCCAAAGGCAGTATAGGTATAGTGGAAATAACATGGACTTGGGACCAACTAAATCTAGATTTAAGCTAAGCTTCACAACTTGGAGGTTTATGACTTTGGGTAAGTTACATAACCCCTCTGGACCTTGGTTTTCTCATTAATAAAACTGGTCATAGTAATCTCTATATTACAAACAGTCTCTAAGCTTTCTTCCAGTTCAAAGTTTCAGGACCCTGGATCTCATTGCCTATCAGTACCCATTTATGTGTATTATAAAATAATAATGTTCTATATTATTCATATATACATAGTATTGTTAAATATCATACAATACAAAAAGGTAGATAACCAAAAATTCCTTGGATTAATAGTTTCTTAGTTTCCATTCTTGTCCTGGCTTTCTCGGCTGTAGCTCAGTCCCTTTCCTTGTTTCAGTGTGATGGGGCTTCTCAATGTCAACACTATTGATATTCTGAACTGGATAATTTTTTGTTGTGGCACACTGTAAGTCTTCAACAAATCAAGACTTGGTTGTAGAAAGCAGAAACCAACTCTGACTGACTGGGATAATTTTAGCTTACAGAATTGATGGAAAGGCTCAGAAAACAGGCAAGAATCACGGGAGGTTAAAGCAGCCAGAAAGACAGCCCAGTCTTCCCACAGAGAAGGCCTAGCTAGAATTCTTCAGGCAGTACTGACATTAGACACAAGCTACCTTTGTTGCCTCTAGAACTAATTCTAATCTGTTCACAGCTTGATTTTTGTCGCTCACCCTAAATTCAGAGTCCCGGACTGGAGCACACAATTGGCAGAGCTTGTAGTGTGTCATGATTTCGTAGCAAGGAGCTGGGACATCTAACAATTAGAATTTTCAGTAATTTGAAAATATTCTTCCACAACTGTTCTTTTTAAACAGGAAAAGTTCTTCCACAACCCTTCTTTTTAAACAGGATTTCAAATAAACACCAAGATGTAGGATCCTTAAACATTTTTGTTTGCTTAGAGAGATGTGTATTTAATGACAGATGGAGAAGCAAAACTCAGCGTTTTATAAATTAGCATGAAGAAAAGTATGCATCAGTCAGAATCATTTGTTGTAAGAAAGAACAGATTTTGATTTTGTTTTATGAATTTTAGTTATTAAAAAAAGCAAATAGCATGCTAAATTAGACTTTTTATTTTGTTATAAATTTTTATTAAGAATTTTTATACCTGTATAAGAATTTCATTACATACATTGTATATATGTGTGAGGGATGTCATATCTGACTGCCTAATTGCTCTGACTAAATTAATAGTAAGGTTTAATTAAATGTCCTAGTTATCCATAGATTTACTGTCTTAAGGAACCTTCATCTTTTTTGTTCCTTTTAGTATTTAGCATTTACATGTGGCTTAATCAGAGGTGGCTTATCAAACTTGGGGATAAAAAGTATTGTAACAGCTGAAGTGTCTTCAATGCCTGCCTGTAAGTTGAATTCACATTTCTTACAAATGTTTTTAGTTATTGTTTTTCAGGTCTGGTTTTTTTTGTTGTTGTTTGTTTTGGTTTTGTTTCTGTTAACTTTGAGGGAATTTAAAATGCTAAAACCATTTACTTTGACCAGTTTTAACATTTAATATAGTAATATGTAGCACACTTATATTCATATTCAATGATTTTTGAATTCATAATGGACATTGATTTAAGAAAATGTGCTAAAGAAAACCAAATTAGACAATTTAAGGGCTGATTCTTAACTTCTAAAGGAAAATTTTCTGGTGTATTCTTTTCAGAAAGTAAATTTCCCTATAGCATTGCAAAATTTTTTTTTTAGTTTTCTAGAATATATTTATTATGTTAAACTAGATAAAGCCAGCTGGTCTAAACTTTCAAAAGATCTCTCACCCAGAGCTACCAACCAAGAATACAACTGACTTGGGCTTCATTTTATTTCCTTTCTATTCATGATGATAACTTGTAGCAAAATACCCAAAATGTAAGGATTACAAAGAGAAACAAAGGCACTTATTTACCAATCAGATAATCATTTTATAAAAATGGAATTACCCTTATTGAATATGATTATGAAAAATGTGACAAATTTTTTGATTAAAACTTTCTAAATAGAGCTGAAAACTGATGTTTAGACTTCTCTTTCTTGTTGCTAAAATCAAAATGATTTTTCATGTTTTTCTTTTTTAGGTAAATTTCAGGTGATGATACAGAAGTTGTAGGACATACTGAAATGCAAGGCTTCAACTATGTAAAGATTTAGTTAAATTATTCCTGTATAAAGTATTTCAAATAGCAATGATTTAATTACATTGTTGGACATTGGTGTTGATACAAGCTATTTGCTAACTTGTATAATGAAAGATGTGTTCTTAAGCAGGAGTAAGGTTGTATTATCAATTTAACATAGACCAAACTAAAGCAGATAAAGAGGTATTTAGAGTGAAAGAAACCTGATTTCAAATAAACACCAAGATGTAGGATTCTTATTTTAAACAGTTTTGTTTGCTTAGAGAGATGTGTATTTAACGACAGATGGAAAAGCAAAACTACGAGTTTTATAAATTAGCATAAAGAAAATTATGCACCAGCCAGAATCATTTGTGTAAGAATGAACAGATTTTGATTTTGTTTTATGAACTTTAGTTATTAAAAAAGCAAATAGCATGCTAAATTAGAATTTTTATTTTATTGTTATAATTTATTTTTATTAAGAATTTTTATACCTGTATAAGAATTTCATTACATACATTGTATATATGTGTGAGAGATGTCATATCTGACTGCCTAAATTGCTCAAAAAAATACTTTCACTTTAATAGAATTTAGTTCTGGAGGGATCCATTAATATAATAAAAGTGAAATATAGATTAGTTTAAATGTGAATTCAGTGACTCTAGGGCCAAAGAATATTAGATATTTTAGAGAGGAATTTTTATACTTACTCCTGTTAGTTTCACCTTTCAGCGTTTCTCTTGTTGTGTAGAAGTGCTGGTGGTTTCTAACTTTTTCATCTTTCTTCCCTTATTTACTCTTCCCCGTAAAGGGTAGAAGGGTAGATTCAGTGTGTGGTGAGGGTCTACTTCTTAGTTCACAAAGGCGTAATTTTTGTCTGTGTTCTCACTTGGTGTTAAGGGGACTAGCTAACTCTCTGGGGTCCCTTTTAAAAGGGCACAAAGCCCATTCAAGAGGGCTTAGCCCTCAGGACCTAATAATCAGTTCCCAAAGGCCCTGCCTCCTTATATTTTCACCTTGGCTGTCAAGGTTTGAACACATGTATTTTCAGGGACACAAATATTCAGTCCATAGCAGAACCCGACATGTGGTGAGCAAGGGGAAAGCAGAATCCTACAGCCAGGGTTATCTGCTGAATTGTTTCCAAATCCAACTAAAATACAGCTGTAGGATGGGAGTTCAACTTAGGCATCAGGCTGGGACTGGCACAATTTTGGAGTCATAAAAGTTAAGAAACTAGACAGGACCTACAATTGTTTTTCAAAGTGTTCTTTGAAAAATGAGTACTATGATCAAATGCATTTTAGAAATCCATCCTCTTTTGTAGATTTTTAATGCATTTTAATGGCATGTTACAGATTCTGGAGAAAAAAAATTTATTTAACCTAGTGTTTGATCACAGTACTATTTTTTCAACACTAATAGCTCAAATCAGCATTTTAGGGCAATCTGTGAAATACTTGTTTTTGTTGTTCCACATATTTGTGCATTCATTGGTTGATTCTTGTATGTGCCCTGACGGGATTGAACCCACAACTTTGGTGTTTAGGGACAGTGCTCTAACCAACGCAGTTACCCAGCCTGGGCTGACCTTTCTATAATTTCTAAAACATTTTTCTCTCTGTCCCCAGATAGTAGAAGTGATAATCAGAATCAATTTTAATATGTTTCTAATTGGTTTATTCTGCTAAGAGACACAGGTGAAATAAACCTTAAAAAAATTAATTAAAATGAATGAAATTTTAATGACAGTACTACCACAATTTAGTAAATGTATAATATCCTCCTGGCCAAAAGAAGTAATGTATCTTTTATGTGAACAAAAAAGTGCAGGTGCAATCTAATTTATTTTTCACTATCCTACAGACCTGATTAAACTACCATTTGGTAGCTATTTTCAAAATAACTACTTCTAAATTCTGTATTTAAAATGTGTCATTTCTCAACAGACTTTAGGCTTTCTACCTCTGTTAAGAGTTGGGGAACTTTTTCTCTTCAATTTCTCATTAAAATCAGAAGATAACTTTTAATAGTGAATGCCTCGATTGATCTTATGATTATACTTGCAGTCTGCACACTTTATTTTTTATTACATTAGTGACTTAAAATGTCTATTACTTTTATTTGTCTCTACATTCCTAAAAAATATCCTTATGCCATGTTGAGTCATTATAAAAATGGGTTCTCCGTTACCTATTTGATATCCTCCAGCTTGTTAGATAATAGAGGTGTAACTGCATTAAAATAATTTCTTATACCACTTGTCTTCAGGACATGTAAAATTGCTTTCTTTCTTATGCTACCCAGTCCCCAGGAATTTAGCCCTCTGTGAGTAGTATATATAACTACATGTTCAGCCACTAGTTATGAAAGAAATGTAAGTCAGAACAATAATTGACACTTTACCTCTATTAAAGCAATACCCAGGAGTCCCCCTCCCTCCAGCATCAAATTAACCAAAAAAAAAATGTGAGGCTATAACAGCTGGTTGTGGTATAGGTTGGAAATATATACTCTTTATGGTAGACACTGCTGGCTGCATACCCAATAACCACACTCCCCTCTTTTCCAACAGAACTCCATATTTGATAGGAGTGGCAATGTGCTCAGCTAAAAAAATTACTATTTCCACTTTTCTTTATAATGAGAACATGTCATAACTCTGGCAATGTAAGTTTTCTTATAATGCTTTGCTCCCCTGACATACACAAGAGGAGACTGTGCCTTTTTTTTTTTTTTTTTAAGATTTTATTTATTTTTAGAGAGAGGGGGCAGGAGGGAGAAAGAGAGGCAGCGAAATATCGATGTGTGAGAGATACATCAATCAGTTGCCTCTTGCACACCCACAACTGGGAACCTGGCCCGCAACCCAGGCATGTGCCCTGATGGGGAATCGAACCTGTGACCTTTCAGTTCGCAGGCTGGCACTCAATCCACTGAGCCACACGAGCTAGGGTGAGATGGTGCCTTTTTATCCTTCCTGGAATCTAGATGTGAGGCAACAAAGCAACCATATCATGACTGAAAAGATGAAAGCTCCACACTAAAACTGATAAAAGAAAAATCGGGATGCAGCCCAGGACATTTAAAATATTAAGCGTTGCTGCACAAGTCCTGAACTTATACCAGAATTATCAGATGAGAGGCAAAAATTCCTAATTTTTAAAACCTCAGTTAAGTTTTCAAATGCAGTATTAACTGATAAGACTTGTATGGACTGCAACCCTACCCTTGGGAACATTAACCGAAGAAAGCAAAAAGTTATGTACAATGACGATATTCATGGTAGCATTTTTTATATTGGATTAACACTGAAAACAGATTAGAGATATCCAACAATGAGAGAATGCTTAAATTCTGGTAAAAAAACCACAACAACCTGGACTAATAGGTTGACATTTAAAAATCAGCTTTCTCAAGACATAACAGGAAAGATTCAACTTTAAATTACATCTGCTCTATTTGTAACTAGTGGCAAAAGTATTGGTTCCCTGATTCACAATTATTCCTAATTCCCTTTTCCTTTTCTACCTCTATTAGAAAGTCTGGAAAGGCTTAACAATTTCATTTCTTGGCCTTTCTTGGAATGAGAGGTGATCATCTTACACACTTGTGGCCAACAGATGGACACAAATCTGTGGCTATCTGGAGGTTTTGCTTGTATGAGAAAGAAACCTGTTTTGAAAACAGACACATAGCTTTGAATTGCAGTGGCCATCTTGTTGTCATGAGGGAAACGCCAAAAGAATCAGAGACCTGGGTATCATGGATTGGTTGAACCAGTGCCAGTAGGCAGCTCCTCTATACTTCTCATTATGTGAGAAAAATAAACCCCTGTTTGAAGAACCATTGCTCCTAGGATCTGCTGCCCCTAGGGTCTTCTGTTACTTAAGGTGGAAAACTTTCTACCTGAGTATAAATTATATATGAACAGATTTGACAGAAAAATTAAAGCAGTCAACTTGTTAGGGTACTATTAAAAATGTTAAAGTTTTGTGCAATAAACCATTTAAATAAAAGTACTGAGCTTAAACGGAAAATGTTTGATTAATTCTGTTGCTATGAACACATATACCATTTAATCTCAATTATTTTAATTCTAAAAACCTTTCTCCATTGTCTTTTGTTCAAAAGTCAAACAAAATTTTAGTAATCAAAACATACTTTTCAATAAAATTTTATGTGTATATATGTAAATAAACAAAGCAGCACCAAGAGCATTTGTATAATTGTATCATACTGTTTTGCACATGGTTATAGAAAACTGTTTATCAGAAATTAGGTGGGATTATCCAAAGATACTTCAGATATTCAAATACATACACTTTATCTTCTGCATATCAACTTGAGTTGCACAGGTTAAGATGAAGACCCCTTACATAATGTTGAAGATACACTGAAATCTGCACTTGAACCGGCATTGCACTTCCTCATACAGGCTGCCTTCATCATCTTCTATCCCTGAGAGATCAGCTACATCAAGATGGCTCATCGGCTAAATCACGCTGGTCAAAATACCTGGTAAAGAAATAACTGAATGTACGCTTAAAGATAATTGCAGCACTACTTGTAATAATAGCAGAACACCTCAAACAATCTAAATGTCCATTGGTAGGGGGGCTGGTTGAATAAATTACAGTATATCTACACAGTGGAAGACTGAAGCTTTTACAAAAAAAGGAATGAGGAAAATGTCTCCACTGCTATAGCATGATTTCCAGGATTTATTAAGTGAAAAAAAGGTATAGAATGGTATGTTTAGTATGCTACATTTTGTGTTCATAAGAATGCTAATTATATACACGCACAGTATGTTATTTTTAAAAAGAAACAATGAGTGGAAGGATAAACCAAAAATTAACAATAAAATGGATAACTATAGAAGAGAGAAAGAGGCTAGAGAGGATAGAGGTGAGTTCTAAAATACTCCAAATGCACCTTTAATTATAATTTTAATTTTGGAACAAGGTAAATATTTGATGTAATTACAAAACAAGATTAAATAAAAAAGAAAATCATGAATTAAAACCCCCTAAAATGAATCTTCCCATCTGTCAAGTTGGTAGCATAACCACACAGAGGAAAATAATTTCAAGTGACCTTAAACACGTTTTTAGTTAAAGTATACCAGGGACAAAAAGAACAAGGAACTTTTTAAATGATTTAAGTATTTTTACTGTCAGTGACATTGTAGTACTATTCTCAAACTAGTATTTGCTTATTACAGGATAAAGCTATAATTATGTTAATATGGTCAGAAACCAGAATTTTCATCATAGGAGAAAAGAGATGTTAAAGAAGGGTCACATATTTCTTTTTAAAGATTTTATTTATTTTTAGAGAGAGGGGAGGGAGGGAGAAAGGGAAACATCCATATGTGGTTGCCTCTTGTGCGCCCCCTACTGGGACCTGGCCTATAACCCAGACATGTGCCCTGGCTGGGAATTCAAATGGCGTTTGGTTCACAATCCAGCACTCCATCCACTGGGCACACCAGCCAGGGCAAGAAGAGTCACATAATCTTAAATTAGAACTCACGTACCAATTTGAACTCAAGATTTTATATTTCTGTTTCTAAAAAAATACATAGTTCCTAGCTGTTCACTGAAAAGGCCTTAGTGCACTGACCAACTTAATAACAACTAGTTCCCCGATGTCCAGATTGTAGACTCTAAATACCATCTTCTACTTGAAGAACTGGCGCTCCGAAGAGAAAAGACTAATTCTAGATCTAGGTCCAGAAATGTTCAAGCAACATATGAATCATCTTGACATACCAGAAAGTGAGAAAACTATAAAAGACCACTAGGATTTTGTAACAAAAAGCATAGGAATTGATTTGATGGGCTCCCAGTGGCCAAAGACAGAACAATTTGAGCATCAAAGAGAATGCAATGGATTGAAGTATATCAAATGTTAAAATCTCTAAATTCAAAACAATAATCCAAAAACAGAAACAGCCTTATTGGTCATCTTTGGGGACGGCTAGGCCACAACTTCATTATTCCAAAATCAACAAAGGGGAAGAATATAGCCTGGATCCTCTTTTGGGTTTTTGGGCAGTAAACTATATTTCAGGGTAACCAAATTGTTGAAGGGAAGTTATGTTTTACAGAAAAAAATTCTAGCTATAGAGAAATAGAAAAACCAGCATTTTAGAATCCTAATAAAAGAATGGATCTATGCGACAATCATCAATAGCTGATAAAATCAACAGGTAAAATGTATGAATGGACTTGACCTGAACAGTGATGAAGTTTATCACCACTAAAAGTAGGACTAGACATGTGCTTCCTGATGTAATACAACAGCATCCATGGAGTCTTGTCAAACAAACAAACAAACAAAAAAACACTATACATAATCCTCTGAGTCAGGGGTGTCCAACCTTTTGGCGTCTCTGGGACACACATTAAATACACTGCGACAAGTAATCACAAAAAAATCTCATAACGTTTTAAGTAAATTTATGATTTTGTGTTAGGCCGCATTCATAGCCATCCTGGGCTGCCTGTGGACTGCGGTTGATGCCCCAGCAACCTACCTACCAGTTTACAGAATGTATGGGGGAGGGGGAGATGCATACATTAAAAACTACCATGAAGATTTAGTTGTCAAAACCAAAACATGAAATTTTACAAGTGAAAGGTCCCAGTTTCTTTAACAAGTAAACGACAAAGAAAAAACTCCAGGGGGATTAATGGGGCGACTTAACAGACATCAAACAAATGCAATGAGTACATCTTGGATTTAAACAATTCAAAATTAAACAGACATTTTGGGGATAATTAGGGAATATGAAAAAGGATACTGTGAGAATTATTATTAAATTTATCAGGTGTGGTACTGCTATTACAATCATGTTTTTTAAAAGCTCTTATCAGTTCAATACATACTGAAAGAAGGGAAATGACAGGTCTGAGATATGTTTAAAATACATTAACAACAAAGATGGGATAAATGAAACATCCTGGTAAACAATTAATTGTTGAGCCTGGGTGGTGAATTGGTCTGGGTGGGTTTATTCTACTACATTTGTATGTGCTTGAAAATCTCCATAAGAAGAAGCTCAAAAATAATCATCACTGGGAAAATAATTAAGGCAGTTCAGACACAGCTATTGGATCCTGTTTGAATGGGATCCCAATCATCTGAGTAGGTACTGCTATGAATTAGCAGTTATTACCTTCAAGCTACCAAAACAAACAAAACTAACAATAAAAAACACAAGAGACTTATAATATCTTATTCTTTTATTTAAGTTGCTACTGCAAATTGAGTCAAGGCCTATGTTACCTTTTTTAAACTTGCTATATAGTCTATAAATTTTCCTGAGTGAAGCCTATGTCTCAGAAACTTTTCTAGTATAAAACTTTTTTCCATTTACCTAACTTTTTAAGGAAGAAAAATAATGACTAATACATTTGAATATTTGTCTCTTAAGTGTATAATATTATAAAATATTAGTGGATTAGCTGGCAGATGATGTGTTTAAGTCTCTGGTTTCATTAGGTACTAGTTTACTGAACTATCGATAGCTTAATCTTTCTGAGCCTGTCTGAAAGTATGAAAAAACAAACAAACCCTAAATTGTGTAAGGATTAGAGCATCAATATATATAGTGCCTAAGGAAATGCTGTATCCTCTCCTTTAACCCACATTACCAACAGAGGAGGTAGGTGTTAACTGTGCGGTAAGCATAGCTAAGGGCTCAGCTCTAGAGTAAAGCTGCCTGGGTTTGGATCCTAGCTCTGCTATTTACTAGTTTTGTGATGGTAGTAAAGTTATTTAGCTTCTCTCTGGCATTGTTTCCTCATCTGTAAACTGGTCATAGCACCTACTGTCTAAGAATTAATGAGTTCCTATTATGAAGCATTGAGAAAAATGCGTGGCACAAAGTGCCCAGTAAGTATTAATTACGGTCAGCAGCAAAACTGTAGATCAAGAAACTAGATGTTGAATATGTGTGTACTCTAAAGAAGCGTCTGGTGTGGGGGAGGGATAAAGGGACACAGGATTACTTACCTTCCCAATATTTAAGTATATTATAAATCTTTAAAAAGGTATTGGTGTTAGGTAGGACAGAGAGTGAAGCAACGCAGAGAGGAGGAGGGAGACATGTCTCACCCACTAACTCAGCAGTCCTGTGCCTGGTCCAGTAAGACTGCCAGGTGTTCCAACATCACAAGAAATACTATACTAGCACAGGTAGAGTTGAGTCCTTGAAATTCTATGTATTGTTTCCAATATCTGGGAAAGAAAGCCTCTGAAACTGTGTATTCATCTCAAGGCCTAGAACAGGAAGAGGGGAGGGTCCACGGTACTCAAAGAAAAAGCCCATAAAACAACTTTGGTTAATTGTCTACCTCTGGTCACTATCTGTTTTATGAGGAGGTCCTTACTGCTTACAGAAGGAGCCCATAAGTAGCACTGAGGTAGTAACTACCTCAACTTCAATTTACTTCTGATCACATTATCTGCTTTACAAGACGAACAAATGCGGCCCGGAGCAAGGTAAGAATCTGGGCTAACAGACTCCCACATACACCTACCTTTGGGTAGTCACATCTCTCCAGGGGATGCTGGAGCTACCTCTACCCGCCAACTAATATGTAAATCCCTCATGCCCATCCCGCCCACCAACTATGTAAGTTCTCAGGACAAAGGACCTGATGCTCTTGCTGCCCTAGCTTTTTGCCACCCAAGCCTATGTCTCTCACTCTTGGGTCAGCAAGGACTGAGAAAGTATCACTAACAAACTTTGCCTGGATGCTAATAGACTTGCTGATCTCTAATTCTTTACTGCACTGGCAAGAACCATGGAACAAAAATATTTAGTCCAGTAAGAGACCTAAGATAAATGTGTGTGTAATCTGTAAATATACAGACACAAGAATGTAGACTATGAAGAAGTTTTCAAATAAATTCCAGGTGGAATTTCAATGTAAGAAATGAAATCAAATCAATACTAAATAAAAACATGCCCCAACCAAAAATGAACAAAGGACACAGGCAATTAAAAAATATAACTGTGATAAAATGAAACATGTTCTGCATCACTGGTCAACAAACAAATGCAAATAAAAATGATTTGATTGTATTTTTAAAATATTAGAATGGAAATATTCATATCAACTGAAAATGCCGAATACTGACTAGGAGATGGATACTCTTGCTGACACTTCAGTGGGAACACAGAATGGTATGAGCTTTCTGGAAGGCAAACTGGCAATAAATATCTCAGTTTTAAAAGTATAGTCCTGCACCAAAATAAGTAACATTTCAGTCAATGACACTGCCTATATGGTGATGGTATACCATATAGCCTAGGTATGTAGTAGGCGCTACCATCTAGGTTTGTATTACTATACTCTATGATGTTCCCACAATGATGAAATCACCTAACAATGCATTCTCAGAATGTGTCACCATTGTTAAGCAGTGTATACCTGTACGTGCCCTTTGACTTATTTCTAGGAATTTAACTGCAGGAAATAATGGAGCTATATGCATAACGATCTTCATTGCAGCATTATTTACAAAGAAAAACTAAGAGAACTGTGATACATATAATATTTTCTTACATACCTTAATTTACTGTAAAATGTAAACAATACTCTACCACCATTAATAATACCATTAGGAAGCAAGAAGTCAAAGATTACTTACCTGCTAACCAAGCAGATTAATAAATTCAGAGCAGGAACCCTCTCATCATCTTTGCTGTTCTAAAAAAAAAAAAGGAAGCCACATGTGATAGGACTCTCAAAATGCAATCTGTTCCCCCACCCCAATATCTTTTAAATAAATTTCCTTTTAAGATGCAAACATGAAAATTTTATTAGCTGACAGTAAGAATCACATGGAAATAGATAACCTCAAAGAAAATGGACAGAACTGTAGGAAGATGATCTCTCAAGAAACGTCTAAGATCATTTTTTGAGGAAATATCCTCGACAGGGAAAGGACATAAGAATTGAGGGAGAAAAATTCTGGAAATACCTTTGGAGAACTTTTTCCTAGTTTCAGGTAGAGCGACAAAAAATCTTATGTCCTAATTGAACAGTAATGGAAAAAGTATATATAAAAATATTTTACAGAACTTAGAATTGAGAAGGAATGAAACTCTGGCTTCTAGCATAAGACACACCAGTAAATATTCCAGATCAGGGTTCTTATTATGGAAGTAGTTCCTGAACTATACATGTTACAAAGCTCACTTTAAGTATTTGTTAAAATGACAGACCTAAGACACATGGAAAGTAGTCTTACAGACTATGAGGTTTATTTTCATACATTTCAAGGAATAGTCACAATAACATACTGAGTAATGTTATACAGAAATGTCTATATTTTAATTCAAACTTGGGACACATATCCATGATGTTTCTCTACTCAATTTTCTATGTGCCAAACACTACATGGGACAAAGCTGAATAAAACATATTTACAATATGTGCTAATGGCACAGAAGATGAAATATCCACATACTAGCTTTAATGAAAGGAAAAATGTGTAAAGTACCATTAAAAGACACAAAGCCCTGGCTGGGGTGGATCAGTGGGTTGGTCCAGTTCCCAGTCAGGGCACATACCTGGGTTGCAGGCCAGGCCCCCGGCTGGGGACAGGTGGGAGGCAACCCGATCAATGATTCTCTCACACATAAATGTTCCTCTCCATCTCTCCCTCCCTTTCCCTTTCTCTGAAAAATAAATAAAATCTTAAAATCTTATTTAAAAATATGGGGAAAAGAGACACAAAGTATACTGGGAAAACAGAGGACAGAGAGATTCTTTTTAGTTTTTGGGATCAGGGAAAGTTTCAGAGAAAATGGTGGAATATGAGCCAGGTTGTGAAAAGTAAATGGTATTTAGATGCAATCTGGAAGAGTGAAAAGGCCCTTTTGCAGAGGGAATAAAGTCTAGGAACAAAGCATGGGAAAGTTAGTGAGCAGCAGGCACATTTTGCTTGGAGTACAGGTCATTAAGTTAGTTTGGGCCATATCGTGGTAGTTCAATTAAAGTATTTTGGAGTAGTCAATGAAGAAACAGTTTATATTTCGGGGGGGGGGGGGGGGGGAAGGAAGGATTGAAAAAAAAGTGGGCTTAATAGGGCTTTAAATTAATTTTTATTGTAATGCTACATGCATGATTTAGAAAAGGATCTGACTGGAGAAATTCAAATCAATCACTGGGCCAGAGGCTGCTGGGTGATCTCCAACTTCTTAGCTCCCCTGACTGTGAAGCTCATTTTTAGCCAGGCAACTGCCACCCAGCTAAAAGTAAACACTTCCCATAGTTTCTTATGGCCATGTAACTAAACTCTGGTCAATGAGCCATAGAGACAGATGTGCCGTCGAACCTCTGGAAGGCTCTTAAAGAGGATGACAGCCTTCTTTCTTCTCTTCTTTCCGACTGCTTATCATGAAATCCAATGGCTGAAGCTCCAGCAGCCATCTCGGATGTGAGGTGAGCTGAAGGTGGAAGCCAGATGTGGGAGAACTTGAAGGCCTGGGTTACTGCCGTCCTAAGTCTGATTAGCCTACCTTTAGACTTTCTTTATCTGAGAAGAAGTTCTGTTTTAATTAAGTTACTGTTATTTCGCGCTTTTCTATTGTGTGGCCAAATCTAATTCTGACTAATAAAATATTCCACGTTTTCTTATTTCATTGGAATCCTTCTTTATCACCATGTTGCAACTTACCACTGAGAGTCTCACTTCAGAGCATCTCCTTGCAAGCTGCCGAATCAGTGAATGAGCCTCAGGTAATAAAGGTTTTTCAAGACAAGCCAGTAAAGCATAAAGCCATCTTCCCTAAAGAGAATTTTAAGAAATAATAAGTAAGAAAATACTACACTACCCTATTTTAACTTGTTTTTTTAAAATGTCCAAAGTTGTGTCTGGTTATTTGCTATGAATAAATTCACAGAACATTTAACTGGACTATGTTTGGATAGAGAAGACAAAGGGTCACCTGGAAAGCCAGGGCTTATCCTTTGTATCTTCTAACTATAGACACGGAACATTAAATACTTCAAAATATTCCCCAAAGAGTTCGTTTCAGGGATTCTTATTACAATGATAGTCCTGATCCACTGGCAGAATACTGTATTAAGATGTGAATAAATCCTTGAGAAATTAAGGTACGTTGTTTTTCTTTGCCCTCTATAGACAGGTATATAAATCATTTTATAATTTTATTAGCTTTGTCCCCTTGGTCAATACAAAAGAACTATAGCCTAGATGAAACAGTGTTTTGATACTTCTATAAATACCACAGCAAGCTAAATTTATTCCCATCCCTTTTTAAAATGGGTTTTTGTTTTTAATTACAAAAGCAATATACACTTGGTGCAGAAAAACTAAAAAATACAAAAAGTGCAAAGGAAAAATGAACCTGAAATCCCACCACCCAGATAAACTTTCTGCTAATTTTTAAAATGTTCACCTTTTTCCTATGTAGACTTACAGCTTTTAAAAATAAAGCTTCATCACTGTAACAATAGTAAGGTAATAACATTTTAACATTTTGTAGCCATCCTTTTTACTTGTAATACATAATAAAGATTTCCCATGGTGTTAAATTGGATTAATAAGAGACGTTATTAGTCTTAGCATGGTGTTTGTATAAATACTCTTTAATGAAGCACTTATAATACTTTCTTGTCACTGCTGGTTTATTGTTTTTTCACCCAGATTTTGTCAGAGTATGACAGACATTATACTCCTAGAATCCAGTCTAGACTTGAAACACAATAGGAGCTTAATTAAAATATTTGTGGAATGAATGTTCCATTGTGGACGCACCATAATTGACTTAACCAATTTTCTATCATTGAGAACCTAGGCTATTTAATTTGTTGCTGTTATATAAAACACACAGTGTGATAATTATCCTGGAACATAAGTTTTAGAGCACCTCTGATTGATTTCTTGGGCTAAATTCCTGGAAATGAAATGGTGATGTCAAAGGGTATATCCATTCATGTTTCTGAGATATAATCACTAAACTGTACCCCAGAAAGGTTATATTAAATTATATTTTCATCAGTAGTGTATATGACTGAGTTTATTCGGAGCAATACATCACTTGGGAGAAACCTGAAGAATATTAGAAGAAGCCTGAAGAAGCAATTTATACAACACACAAAGTTAGTTCTTCAGGGAACCACAAATTGGTAAGAATTTTTCTTAAACAAAAAGATCCACGTCCAGGTTTCTTTTACAAATAGTGACTGAATTTTCTTCTACATAAAAAAAGCTATTATACATTTCAACTTGACTCAAATTTTTAGCCATATATTTACTATGTAAAGCTAGTATTCAGGTGTTCAAATGGTCTCTACACTTAGAAATGGCTTAAACCTCTGATTGTCTAAGATATAACTATGCTGAAATGTTCCTTTCCTCAGTTAATGAGCACACAGTGACAATACTAAAAAGAGCAAAATCCAAAACCAAGCAGCCAAAAAGCTTCCTTAATACCTTTCTACTTGGATGACAAAACAAGACTGTATTTCTCAATAAGTGTTAGATAAGTAATACTAAGTAAATAAATTTTTAAAAGGTCCCTTTTTCTTTTCGCTAGTTTATGATATTCAAACTTCTTGTGATGAATATTTTTATCTTCAACACTGATATTCTCAATACTAGAGTTCTGATGGTATGGTTATTTGGATAGGAGAATTGATTTAAGAGACAGATTACTCAAAAAAAGATTCAAAAGATTAATCCAGTTAAAATTTAGTAAATCAGTTGTCAGTGGTTCAGAAACACTTCAATAGTTCCTCTGGTAAGTACAGCTACATTTTTTGGTAATATGCTTTCACTAATTAGTAGGAAAAGCCAAACTTATCATCCCTTTGAGTGAGTAATCCTTGAAAGTTTGTTTTTAAAATCTTACTACAAAGTTAAAAAATAAATATTAAAGGAAGAGAAGGAAAATATAAGTAATATTTATCTGTTTTATAAGGCTTATGAAACCCTGATCCAATAACTCTACTCTGGAAATATATTAAGAAAGCAGTATAGATGTTTGTATTTCAGTCATGATTGTAAAATATAAGGAAGAACCCAAATGGTTAATAATGAATCAACGTAGATTATGAGATATTAAGACAATGACAATTGTCTATGTGAATTACATTATCATACAGAAATATATATATGAAATGTAGCCAGAAAAACACAACATGCACACACATTAATTCTAACTATGTAAAAGATACATAGGACCACTGAAACAAAAACAGTGATTTTAAACACAATATTTTTTCCTTAAAAAGTATAAGCTATAGCCCTGGCTTGGTGGCTCAGTTGGTTACAGTGTTGTCTCCAATATGCCAAGGTTGCAGGTTCAATCCCTGGTCAGGGCACATACTAGAATCAACTGATGAATGCATTAAATGCAACAATGAATTGCTTTTTCTCTCTCTCCCTCCCCCTTCTTTTCTCTCTAAAATCAATAAATAAAAAAAATAAATAAAAGTATATGCTTGCTTCAGCAGCACATATATTAAAATTGGAATGATACAGAGATTAATTAGCATGGCCCCTGAGCAAGGATGACATGTAAATTCATGAAGTGTTCCATATTTTTTAAAAAGAAAAAAAATAGTATATATTATAGAGATTTAAAAGAAAGAAAATATTGATATAACTTTTAAAAATGTATTGCTTTTAAAGAGGGAGGAAGGGTTGGGGACACAGAGAGAGAGATTTATTTAAGCATTCATTAGTTGATTCTATGATTCTAGTGTGTGCCCTGACTGGGGATTGAACTCACAACCTTGGTGTATTGGGATGATGCTCTAACCAACTGAGCTACCCGGGCAAGACAGAAAATACAAAAATTTAAACTGAAAAATTTAGTCAAAAAGAATATGGTCATTATATTTATGGAAGAAACTTAACTAAGCCACGTGGCTGAATGGCAGGCTGAGAAGCCTATGTGCTGTACTGCAACGTTGGTTTATCTGTTTCTCCCAGACTATAAGCTTCTGGAGGGCAAAGATTATATCTTATGCTTTGACAGCTAGCTTTTGAGTCTCAGACACACTCTGCTGCAAATATCCTTAACTGTGAAAGTTATTTGTTTTTAAAAATTAAATCTAACTTCAGATGATAAAACTTCTAATTAGGGGATTAAGTAGATAATTTATATAATGTCTACCAACTTTATCCAATATTTTTCAAGGTAAAAAAAAATTAGCTGTGAATATAAAGCAATAAAATAGAGGGGCAGTATAGCATAGCTGTTAAGAATATAGTCTGATAGCCTGGGCATGAATCTCTGTTCTGCTAGTTATCTGTGTGATCTTAGGCAAGTTACTGAATCCCTAGGTGCTCCAGTTTCCTATCAATAAAATGGAAATAATAATATTTGATAGGTTATTTGAAGATTCAGGAAGTTATTAGAAAAATGACTGGCCCAAAGTGCTATTATTGTTGTTATTTCTGATAGGCTTTTGTGAGATGGATTTCAAGGTGATTTTAGAAAATAATGCATTTCAAACTTCTTTAAGTCAGTGCCTCTCAAAATGGGGTTTGCTGATTGGTTGCTAGTTGGTGTCCTGTTTGTTACTTGTCCCAGGATAAAAATCAGCTATTTAGTTGACACTTTCCCCCTCTAAAAGCAAGACTTTCTCAATGGAGAAACTAGTATGTTAATTTACATGCTAGTGTAAGTTCTTGACTTCACTACAAACAAGCATAGTTTGCATTAAACATAGTTATACATAAAGGTATAATATGTACATATCTGTAAGTACTGTAGAGCCCTATCTCATATATGAGTATGTATATTTTCATCTGGATTATCAAAATAAAAAGATGTAACACTACCAATTCTGGAGTAAAGTCTCTTTCTCCAAACCAATTACTCAGATATTCCAAGACACTGGTTACTGTTGCCTAAAAAAAGCAGGGGAGGAGGTAGAATTGCATTAGTGCAAGTAAAACAATGACAAAGTCAACATGAGTTTCATTTAGTTAGAAAGCAACTCCGATAATTAAAGTGGCCTCATTATTTAGACTTCCAGAGAAAACTGTGACTCTATTTAGTAATTTAATTAGATGGCTCACTAAAAGAGAAGAGGCTTTTAGGAGAATATTCTCATATATTTTCAAGTATCAATACCTTGGATTAAATCCTAGGATTTAGTTAGCAACTACTAATTTAGTTTATCATTACTTGAAAAATTCCATGTGCTCTTAAAGTCTTTGCAAAATAAATACCTTCATTTATTTTCATGACACAAAGTACAAATCTAAACAGACAGCTAGAGAAAGACCTGTTTTAAACCTATAAAGACAGAATTTATCAAATTGTTGAAAATATTTTTTGGCTTATTCAATTATAGTTGGACACTTAAAAACACTCTGATAGAATTTAGTGTGACTATAGTATCTTAGTGCAAATGACCAAGTGAAATTGTCAACCAGTATAATTTATGACAAAGTATGACTTTTAAAAGATTTCATCTTCCAAGGGTATCCAGTGCTATGTTAAGACAAAAACAAGCAAATGTTTTAGATGGTCTTTAAATAAATAACAAATTACTAGTCCTAAAAGTCTGAAGAAACAAAATCCATTTCTCCCCCTTTTTCCAAGAAATTTGTGTAGCAGTTAAGTTTTGGGGGAGTCAAAAGTTTTACGTGCGATTTAGACTTCAGGTAGTCAGTGTCCCTAACTCCCATGTTGTTCAAGGGCCAACTGTATTTCATTCTTAATGAAATGTGCAGGATATCTGGAATTAGAAATAGCAATCTACCTTTAGTATTTACTTCAAACCCAGAATCTAAGACTTATAACTGAAATATACACAATTAAGTACTTTAGCACCATGATTAAGAGCATCAGCTTTAGAATTAGATCATTCTTGGGACTGAACTCCTGTGCTGCCATTAAAACTTGCTGGAAAACTAGCTGCAGATGACTTAATCCCTAATTGTTTCCTCTTCTCTAAAAAAAGAGATATTAATAAATACTCCCTATCTAGGGCTGCAGTAAGGATTAAATAAGAACTGTTAAAGAGTTTAGGGCAGGGTGTGGCATACTGTAAATACTCAGTAAGTGTATTCAAATACTTTCACACACATTGCAAACAAAAGAATGCATATTCCTTATTATTAGATGGATTTTACCTGATTCATTCTGCTAACAATACTAAGCAAGGGGGGGAAACCAATCTGAAAGAAAAAAGAGACTGAAATTTATCAAATGGTATTATAAGGGGGAATTTAATTTGTTTTCAAACTGGTGAATTGCTCATCACACTGTTATTTAGAAACAAATAATGGCTAAAACAAAATTCCTTTATTACCTATTATAATAAAATGTTCCATGAACTCTTACATTGGTAATGCCCCCTAAACTAATGTCTTAAAATGTGAATATGTAAATTTAAAAACAAAAAATGGTTTCAGTAATTAAAATGTTCAAGTTTGAAATTTAAAAATATGACACTGATACTATTAACACTATGACATTAATATGTGACACAGACTTAAAAAATCTGCAGCTAAAGCTAATATTTTTAGGAATTAAGGGCACTTGAATTAGAATGACTTTTTTCAAACTTAATCTGATTCAATTTAAAAACAATCTGCTTTGAAGTTTAAAGCTGGGAGCCTTGATTGTGAAAACAGCACTGATTTGTGAGAAGCTTAAGAGGATATGCATTAAACTCTTGCAACTTTAAATGGTTCTTTTTAAAAATTATTTTTAAATTTATTCTTTTTTAGAGAGAGGGGAAGGGAAGGAAAAGAAAGGGAGAGAAACATTGATTGGTTGCTTCTTGTATGTCCCCCAGCTGAGACTGTACCTGCAACCCAGTCAGTGGCCTGACCAGGAATCACATTGGTGACCTTTTGCTTTAAGGGGCGATGCCCAACGAAGCCACACTGGTCGGGGCTATATGGTTCTCTCACACGGTACATGTTACTTGTGTAAATTTTGTAATAACAAGCTAAATAAATAAATTTTAATTCATTATTAAATTAAAACATTTTTGAGAGTAACATACATTAGGGATTATCCAAAAGAATAGGCTGTATAAGAAACAGTGCCACGTTAGCTCCCTGGAGATTTGAATCTATTTTTATCCCTGCCACATGTATAAGAGTGCCTGTTTCCCCAGCCCTATCTAGCACAGTATATCAAGCTTTCTTTGCCAATATAGTACCTGAAAAATAGTGGCTCAGTGTAGTTATAAGTTACATTTACAAGTATTACAAGTGAGTATGTGCATTTTCACATATAAGAACAATTTGTATTTCCTTTCTGTGTGATGTCTATTTATATCCTTGGACTGTTTTTTTCTTTGTTTTTTTAAATTGGGCTGTTGGTCTTTTTAGTGAGTTTTGGAGTTTTTACATTTGGGGGATTAGTTTTAAGTAGGAAAAACAAAATGTGGGACCACATAGCAAAAAAATGCATACCTATTCAACAGAATAGAACATAACATAGGGATTTAGTAGTAGTGAGACATATGCAGCGGGTTCCATAGAAATACCTGAAAACTTGAGGGCATACTAAAAGACAGGAAGGAGTTGTCCACATAATTCATGAAGTCGTGTGAAATTTAAATATACTCTCAACACTTCATCTCCAGAAAACACAATTTACTAGTAAGCATTTTAAAGTACATTTCTAATTGTGTCAAATGCTTTTCTGTTTCCCTGATTACTCATCATTCATTGTTTTACCCATGACTAAATTATTTTAAAAAACCAAATCCTATTAACTCACAAAACTACTAATGCATAAAGGGTATGAAGCCAATCTAAAAAATATCACAATACATTATTTCAGAAACTAGGATGCTATTTTTAAGTTAAAGACATAATGAACTAAGTCAAGGATTGGCAAACATTTTCTGTAAACAACCAAACTAAATATTTGAGGCTTGGCAGGCCACACACTGTCTTAGTCATATATTATTATTACAGTTTGTTTTTTAAAAATCTTTAAAAATATAAAAACCACTCTTAGCTCATGAGCTACACAAAAAAATTGGCTGCAGACTGGATTTGGACTAGGCTGTAGGTTGCTGACCCTTTATACTAGATGATGTACCAAAACTAGAATACTTTTTGTTTTGTTTATCCACTTGTCACCTACTTGTATATAATCTATTCCAGGACTTTCATTTTCAGCTGGTCCAAAAGCCCCTTCAGAACATAACCTTTCACCCAGACAAAATTTTTTCCAACCTTCTTCATCTTCAGATTTTGGCTAAAAAAAAAAAATAATAATAACAGATTTACTAATTTCTATATATTTTTAAATTACTGAACTGTGAAAAAAGTAATGAGAATTTATCCATAGTCCCACCACCTCGACACGAAGATATGGTGCCTTTATGGATTGAATTACATCACCCCAAGATTCAAATGTTAAAGAGCTAACCCTCAGTACCTCAAGATATGACTGTACTTAGAGTCAGGGCCTTTATAGAGGTGATTTAGGTAAATTGAAGCTTCAGAGCAGCCCCAAATCCAATCTGACTGGTGTCCTTGTAAGAAGAGGACAGTTGGACACACAGAGATGCTGGGGATGTGCACTCACAGAGGAAAGACTACGCAAGACAATACTGAGAAGGTATCATGTGCAAGCCAGAGAAAGGCACTGACGGAAACAAAACCTACTGACACCTTGATCTTAGACTTCTAGCCTAAAAAACTGTGAGAAAGTAAATTACTGTTTGTTAAACTACCCAGTTTGTAGTATTTTGCTATGGTGGCCCTAGCAAATAAATACAGTGCCCCAAGTGGTCTTACCATATGTGGGACATGTTTAGTTGGGAGAACACTTTAATGGACACTGACAAGCAAGGGTATGTTCAAAAGAGAATGATAAAGATGAAATTAAGATAAAAAAAAAAAAGAGCGCTAAGAATGCTTACAAGAATGAAGGATGTTTGTTCCGGGGAAGGAGACATGATTATATACTTCACATACTTGATGGGCTGTCCAGTCAAGGAAGGAATAGATTTATTCTACATCGCCAAATGTAAGAAGCAGGACCAGTGGCAGACAGAAGCATTCAGTTCAATATAGCTATCTTAAAAAAACTTTTTATTTGTACACATCATTTTGCACCTTACTTTGCAAAGGTGTGGTTTTTTCTCCCCTGAGGATAAATAGCTTTCATTACATTTTCAGGATGAATGGGACCCTAAAAGGTTAAAACCTATTGTCCTAAAACAATGTATACACCTTTCTCCATTATTCTGTTAGGTTAGAGATGATTTCTGCTGCAGTTAGCACTGAATATCCTAATCATTAAATATCATAGGTGCTTAATAAACGATTGGATAAATCAATAAATAAACATTTATATTATATAGCTGACACAAGAATGTGCTTTGAAAATTTTCATTTTATTATTTTCATGTTTACATTTGCCATGATGAACCTATGTTACGGTTACATAATACTCCTGTTTTGATGGAGCATAATTTATTGAATCAATTATGTTAGGTCATTTCATTTTTGACAAAATTACATCATGTTATTGATGTGGCTTCTTTTTTAATTAGTAAGTATGTACAACAAATCCTTACACTGAGCAAGAAAAAAATATCTCTACCGACCTTCCCCCCTCCTCCTTTCTTACCAAAGGCCTCATAGCATAATGAAAAGCTTTAGTCAGACAAACTTCAGTGGCTCCCGGTATATACTTTTTAGGAGTTAAATGGTCTTAGGCAAGTGATGTCAGTTCCTCTCACACTTTTTTAGAACAGAACTTCCAACTGGTATGGAGAGGCCATATATTCAATCTCTCAACTTTCAGCTGGTAGTCTCAGGAAGCCTATACAAGCAACCTCTTCCATTTACTCCAGTGTATCACCATGTAAAAGATCTTAGGAAGAACTGCCTAGAAGAAGATTGTTAAGACCTGAAATCCATGACCTACCCAAAAATTAGCAAAACTGTGTGCATAGGTGCATTTTGTCCTTTGGAAGATAAATAGCCTTCATTTGATTCTCAGAAAGAATATGAGACTTCCTAAAAGGTTAAAAGTATTGCCATGGGGTATATCTAAAATTAATAAAATACTGTATGTCAACTGTAATTGAAATATAAATTTAAAAAAGAGGTAAATGTAAAAAGTAAAATTAAAACTTTTTACAGAAAAACAAAGTATTGCCATGGAACAACATATCCATTTCTTCCCCAACACCCTTTTTGATTCAACAGTCCAGATATAACATATCTACTGAAGAGCTTAACATACTATCTAAGCTGGTAAAATGAAGACAATACTACTTTCCCATAGGCATGGCAGATTTACTAAACTGTCACTGGTATTGGCACCATTAACTCATCAGGAAAATCCAATAAGCTTTTACTCAGTCTGTTTGAAAATACTTTTTGTAAACAGGAAAATGTATTTATTTCCTAAAAAGCAAATGTCTAGAAGGACTCGTAAAAACGTGTAGAGGCCTAACAATTATCTATCCAAAATGTCTCAAAATGCTGTGGATCAAAGCTGTTATGAAAATAACTTGCATTACTAATTTTATGTTTTTCAGGCCACTAATGTAATGGAATTGTTACTATTAAGGGTAGGTGGGGACTGCCAGTCAAGATGGCCGCATAATAAACATGGCTGACCTCCTTGCACAACCACATCAAAATTACAACTAAAATATAGAACAACCATCACTCAGAGCCATCAGAAGTTGAGTTGAATGGAAGCCTGATAACTACAGAATTAAAGAAACCACACCCATCCGGACTGGTAGGAGGGGTGGAGAGATGGAACATGGTCCCATACCCATGTGTGGTGGATAAAAATTCAGAAGGGGTATCTTGGGAGTGGAGTCCCAGCCCCACACCAGGCCCCCCAAACCAGGGTTCCAGTGCCAGGAAGATAGGCCCCATAACTTCTGGCTACAAAAACCAGTGGGGATTGAGTTGATGGAAGAAACTTCTGGAGTCTGAAGTAGTTCCTCTTGAAGAACTCACACATGGACTTACTCAGACTCACTCCTTCTGAGCTCCGGCATTGGGGTAGCAGCTTGAAAGGTACCAGTGGCACACAGGGAGGAACTGAAGTATCTGGCATCAAGGTGAGAGCTGGGAGACTGCCTTCTCCTAGACAGGAAGGCGGGCAGAGTCCACTGTCCCTTTTCTGAACCCTCTTCACACAAAGCCACAGAGCTGGCAGGCTGGTGCCATATCTGAGACCCCATCAACACTGTCTGTCCCACCCTGGAGATCCCCAGACATTCCACTGAACCCAACTTACTTGGGCCCACCCAAGCTGCTTTTCCATATGAATGGCTGATCTTGGCTCATGCTTCACAACTTCCTAAATCCTCTCAAACAAGCAACAGCTGGCCTCAGTGAGCCCTCTGCCCCTGACCCTTGCACTAAGTGGCCCCAGGCCTGGCACTAGCAGCAACCAGCCTAGATTCACAGCTTGGCTTTACCTGGAAATCACTAAGCCCAGCATAAATAGTATCCATTTCAGACTGCTTTCTAGCTGAGGCAGGGTAGCCCTGGGCAAAACACAGGTGGTGGCTGACCTTGGCCTGCACCACCCAGGAAACCCAAGAGCCTGCATACCCAGTGGACAGCTACAGACCACGTCAGACCACCACTACTCTGCCCCTGCCCCAGTTGACTGGCCTGGGTATATTCCTCCCATTGATCTGCCAAGAGCCATCAAGGTTCAACTACAAGAGGAGGGTGTACTCAGCCACAAAAAGGGCAAACCTTGAGTACCTAGCTTGGGTGATTGGGGAGGCTCTGCCACTGGACCCTATAGGACATCCACTGCATTAGACCACAATCCAAGACAGGGAGTCAGAGCAGTTCTACCTAATACTTAGAAACAAACATAGGGAGGCTGCCAAAATAAGGAGACAGAGAAACATGGCTCAAATGAAAGAATAAATCAAAACTCCAGAAAAAAACTAAACAAAATAGAGATGAGCAATCTATCAGATGGAGAGTTCAAAACACTGGTTATAAGGATGCTCAAGGAACTTGGTGAGTACCTCAGCAGCATAAATAAGAACCAGTCAGAAACAAAGGATACATTAATTAAAATAAAGAACAATGTACAGAGAAACAACAATAGAGTGGATGAAGCTGAGAATCAAAACAATGATTTGGAACATAAGAAACCAAAAAATAACCAATCAGAATTTCAAGAAGGAAGAAAGAATAAAAAAAAAAAATTAGGACACTGTAAGGAGCCTCTGGGACAACTTCAAGTGTCTGACATTTGTATAATAGGGGTTCTAGAAGGAGAAGAGAAAGAGCAAGAAATTGGAAATCTGTTTGAAAAAATAATGAAACAAAGCTTCCTTAATTGGGTGGAGGAAATAGACATTCAAGTTCAGGAAGCATAGAGTCTCAAACAAGATGGATGCAAGGAGGCCCACTCTGAGACATGATAATTACAATGCTAAAGGTTAAACACAAAGAGAGAATCTTAAAAGCAGCAAGAGGAAAGCAGTTAGTTACCTACAGGGGGATTGCCATAAGACTTTCAGCTGACTTCTCGAAAGGAACTTTGCAGGCTAGAAGGACTGGCAAGAAATATTCAAAGTCATGAAAACAGGAACCTACAGCCAAGATTCCTCTACACAGTAAAGATATCATGTAGAATCAAAGGGCAGATAAAGAGCTTCCTAGACAGGAGATAAAGGAGTTCCTCATCACCAAACCATTGTTATATGAAATGCTAAAGGACTTATTTAAGAAAAAGAAGAAGATCAAACTCTGAAGAATAAAATGGCTATAAATACATATCTATCATCAGTGAATCTAAAAAACAAATTAAGCAAACAAGTCAGAATCATGGATACAGAGAGCATTCTGATGGTTGCCAGGTAGGAGAAGGTACAGAGGAATGGGTGAAGAGGTAAGGGGATTAAGTACAAGTAGGTAGTTTCAGAATAGCCATGGGGATGTAAAGTACAGTATAGAAAATGGAGTAGCCAAAGAACTTACACACATGACACACAGAAATGAACAATGGTGTTGGGATTGCCTGATGGAGTGGTGGGTGCTGGGTGGAGGGATCATATGGGGAAAAATTGGGAGAACTGTTATAGCATAATCAATAAAACAAAATTTTTCAAAAAGGGTAGATGCGAAAGAAAGAGAATAATGTGGACTAAGTAAATGAATCTTTAAAGACTGGAAGTAAATATGGACTATTCCAAATAGGTATATACTGTACAACTAAAACATAGAAACTCACATACCATGTTCACATTTCCATCCAACTGTTGTGATTTCCAGTGACTTCTATGTCTGTTCACATTCTACAGAAAGAGGAATTAGATACAGATCTTCAGAGAATGGATAACTGAAAAGAAATCAATTGCTGCACAACATTCTAACTATCCTAAAACTTGGAAAATGTGTTTCAAACTGTATTATGTCTAATGATTACAATAATAATTTGGTAATTGATTTACAAATATTCTTTTCTTTACACTTCAGAATCACAGATCTTATTTTTCCAACTAAAGTCTAAGAGCAGAATTAAATCCAAGGGAGGGATTTAATTGGATTACATGATTAAAGTACACTTACCTGTCGAACAGCTGAAAATTGTGCCACTTGTTGTTGTTGCCACTGAAGTGTGGGGGAAAATCCTTCAGGAGCAGGTTGGCATCCTGAAAGCTAGAGATCAGTTCATAATTGTTAGAATGAATATTAATGTTGTACCTAGAATCTCACACTTCTGCAAGGTAAAAGGAAAATCAACATGAACAGTAAATAAATAAAGTAAATGATTAAGACTATACATAAAAATAAAGTGCTTTTAGCTGATATAAAAAAGTAGGTAGGCATTTTAGTTTACTAATATCTGAGTTTAAAATGTTAGGAAAAGATCCTATTTAGTTACTTTAATAAGAGCACTCAAGTGGTGGGGGGAAGGCAGAGACAAATGTATTTGAAAAAATAAATTAAAATAAAATTAAAAAAAAAAGAAAAATACCTGAAAACATGTACTAGCAAAATCCACTTCTAATAATGTATCCTTTCATAAATACTTGACCATGTGCACAAATATAAATATATATAGCCACATATATATACATGCACATGTAAATATGTATGCACTGTAGTTAAAACTTAGAAACAATGCCTGGTTGTTGTACGGAAATAGAAAAAATAAATTATGGCACATATGTACTATGAAGCTCTTAAAAAGACTGAAGTGTAATTACACCAAAATATTTCCAAAATGATGCTAAATAACATTAAATATTCCAAGGGGGGGGGGAAAAAAGAGCACTCAGAAATGGTTTATAGTTTCTTTTCTTTAAACATTCATGTATTAATATTTTTTCTAAATTCTCACTCAAGAATATGTTTATTGATTCAGAGAGAGGAAGGGAGGGAGAAAGAAAAACATCAGTGTGAGAAACTTTGATCAGTTCCCCAAGTGGGGATTGAATTTACAACCTAGGTATGTGCCTTGACTGGGAATCAAACCTGCAACCTTTTGGTGTATGGGATGATGCTCCAACAAACTGAACCACTGGGCCAGGGCTATAGTTATAGTTTCTAAGAAATCTAAATGATATGAACCCTGAAGATATAATCTAGTCCTATTTTTCTAGAATAGCAAAAGGAGTTTGAAACAGAGAGAGATATATCCCAAATAAACAATTTCAGGGTAGGCAGAACATATTCAAATAATTTAAGACATTTGACTTTGAAAGGTCTACTTTACTTCTGTTTCCTAAAGCAGCACTTACTTCACAATTGATCACATACTGCCTTGAAATAAAAGTTAGTGAGGCCACTTTTTAAAGCCAGGTATGTAGGACATCAACTTCCATCAACTAAAATCTATGAAACTTTACAGTGTCTGAATTAAAATTTGCTTATTATAAACATCAGATCAAAGAATTACTTAGAACATAAAAGGAAAAGGACTTATTGAAATTTAAAACTGCTGTTCTCCTTTGACCTTAAATTAAATTCACTCCTCAGAGAGACCTTCTGTGACTATTTAGATACTCCCCGTTATTTATTGGTCATTAATATATGATAATTTTCATCATTGTAGAGGTCACATTATATACTTAATTGGTTTGTTCATTGTATTTCTCAAGAGAATGTAAACTCTACAAGAGTAGGGGCCTTTTCTGTCTCATCCTCTACTGTATTTTCAGTGTCCTGCACAACCTAGTTGGTTAGTAAAAAATGTGCTGGATAAATGTATGAAAATATTCATAGTGTGCAAGGAGCTCGAAAAATGTAAGATATCTGGGTTTCTATTCTTTTTTTAATTAAAATTTTTTTCATAGTATATTTTTTATTGTATTTATTCCATTACCATTTATCCCCTTCATACCTTCTTCCACCTCCCCCTACCCTGAGCCCTGCAACAATCACCACGGGTTTCTACTCTTAAACAAAACCCAGTCAAAATAGTAACATGCAAACTACACTAAGATTAAACAGTTCAATAGTAATTATGAAGATAACGGGAAAAGGTTACTTAAAAATAAAGGTTAGTATAAGTAACCTATTTAAAGGCTTTTTCAGGATTGGAACATGCCCTAAAGTATGAAGAGCAAATCCCTATGAATGCCGGGGTTACTAAAAGTCTCTGGCGGCAGTAAATGTCAATTGTCCTTTTGGAGGAAAAAGTACAAGCAAATGTCTAACTTCTAGGGAGTAGCTGTCAAACCTTACCCACCTACTACATCTGTTGGATACTATATGAAGAGGTTTGGTCTTTTAATTTTGAGGGGTTAAAAAAAGTCCCCTGACGGGTAATAAAACTCACAGAAACATTCACACTTTGCTTCCTTTTCAACTTCTTTGGATCAATTTGAGCTACCACAACATCTGGACATTGAGCGGCTTCGATCCTACAAATAAGTAATAAATACAAAAACGTGACTACTATCGTGCCTTGTCGATGTGTAGTAAAACAAGCTAAACATTTCTACGGCTCATTATGAAATTAGACAAACAGTTCAGAATTGCAATTGAGGGACTGATCGAAATACTTATGAAATTATCTGGATTAAAAGCAAGGAAATCTAGGAGCACACATCTTGCCACCGGTAATCAAGCTTAATATAATTAAGTTCACAGAAACTCGCCCCCGTAAAGATGTAATCGAGTGATCCTGATCCAACCCGAACTCCAATGAGACTGGCGAAGGGAACGAAGGCGGGACTTCACCACACGCACGGTTCGAGGGGGACACCCGGCGGTTGCCCAGGGGCAGGAAGGACGACCAGCCCACCCTCTCACGCCAAAATCACTCACTGGACCCGCCTCAAGTATTCCTGAGGCGTCCTCGGGGGTATGGAGGGATCGAAACCTTCTGTCAAGTCGCAGGGCTCCACTGGCAACAGCCGGGGCATCAATTCTTCCACTGCAGATTCCGCAGGTACCCACGCCATGGTTTACAATCTAGCCAGTCTCACGTCTAGGTCACGGCGCAGGCGCACAAGTAGGTACCTTTGGCGGGGAGCAGAGCAAGGGGCAGGACTTAAGGGGCGTAATTGCGCGTGCGCAAACCTGCTCCTTGTGCTAAGGTTAAGGCTCCCGAAGTGTAAAGAAGACAGCAGATTAAGTTCCGTGCAGTCGTGGCTCTGAAATGTTTCTGCGTGTTATCTCTTCCACCCTCTGTACTCTCTTCTAAGACTATGTAAAGACTGTGGGTAATTAACCTCTATGTTTCCCTAGTAGTGAGGTAGTGTTTTTTTTTTGTTTTTTGTTTTGTTAATTAAGGAGGTATATTATTGTAATGATCATTTACTGACCCCTAAATTCCTAACCCCCTAGTAGAGAGGTCACATACATCTCCTCATTTAATTTTTACAACGTTTTGAAGTAGGTGGTATTATCCCGGTGTTTTAAGGGAGGAAATATAACAAAAGAGGGATTAAGTGCTACAAATACGACTTTGTCCCAAAGAGAAAGAGCCAATTTCAACCTAGATTTATCTGAGGACAAATGAACAAAAATTTCATTTTCCAGAGGAATCCTTCATGCTTGGCTGCTTCAAAGATCACTTTGTATTTATCTGAAATGAATATTATCCCTAGAGTAGTCACGATTTTTTTCTTTTCCTTTTTTTTTTTCAGAGAGAACTCTTTGCTTAAATGTAAGTAGTGCAAAGCTTAAAGCTAATGCCAACACCCAGAAGTCACCATTATTAATCTTGGGGCCAACTTTGTGGGGTGATTACTATTATCTCCATTTTACAGATGACCAAACAAGGCAGAAATGATTTAAGTAACTTTTGCTGGGTCACAAACTGCAAGAAAAAATGAAATTATTATATCGCAATCTTTCTAAACAATCTCTGAGTGAATACAATTGACTTTTATTTCTAAGTTTTATGTTTGAGCCTTTTTTTAAAAGGACTGCTAACAACTTAGAAACCAGAATGCAACTTACTCAATTGAAGATGAAGTGAAGACAGACCTTAGGTTAAAAACTTCATGTATAAGAACATGGCAGAACTACCCATGGAGGAAGGTGAGAAATAGCAGAATGAACAAAGGTTGTCCTAGGCCATAATAATAAATTATTTTCCAAAAGAAGAGGTGAGTAATAAACCACACAAATTATCCTGAAATGCTTCTAAATCTTTAAGTACACAGGCATGAATTCACTCAAGAGAAAAAAAAGTAAATTAAAAATTTATGTGTCACTTTCTACTACTTCAAGCTAATCTGACATTAAAAGAAATTAGTAACTGGTTTTGGAACAAATTTTACTATGGTAATAAATTGGAAATTGCACACATATTTTTGATAGTTTCAGTAAGATATTGGACAGCTGAGAAGAAACTATATCTGGTTGATTAAGTTATTCTGAAAGGAAAAATGCTTAATTGTTGAAAAGCTGAATTTCTAAAACTGTAATAACTTTCATCTAAACTCTCCCTGGGAAGAACTATACCTAAGATTCTGAACTACTTCTGGTGCCCTTTTTTCAAAGATTTCCAGTTATTTCTCAGGTTAAAATGGAAAATTGTTTTATTTCAATGATTCTTTTTTTGTTAAAGATTTTATTTATTTATTTTTCAAGAGAGGAGATGGGATGGAGAGAAACGTTGATGTGTAAGAAACACATAGCACACTCCCAGCCGAGCACCTGACCTGCAACCCAGGCATGTGCCCTGACCAGGAACCCAAATGGCGACTTTTCAGTTTGCAGGCTTGTGCTCAATCTACTGAACCACGCCAGCCAGGGCTATTTTAGTGTTTCTTACATTAGTGTTTGGCTATAGTGGTTATATAAGTGTAGGAACAGAATACTCAAGTTGTTTATTGATGATGGTGGCATTTGTTAAGTCATCCTAGCAGAGCCAACTGCAAAATTTGTCCTTGTGTTTTATATCCCTTTAAGCAGTTCACTTATTCTCTTAAATTAATGCGTATAAGAGTTATCTGAAAGAAGTTATTTAAAATACAGGCTCCTGGCCTTGGCCAGTGTGGCTCAGATGGTTGGAGTGTTGTCCCACAAACCAAAAGTTCATGGGTTCGAGTTCTGATCAGGGCACAGGTGCAACAGATCGATGTTTCTGTCTCATGTAGATATTTCTCTCCCTCTCTTTCTCCCTCCCTTCCCCTCTTTCTAAAATCAATAAGCATGTCCTTGGGTGAGAATAAAAACAATACACACTCCTGGGTCCTATAACTCTCTCCTCCAGAGAGGTCTGATTCTGTTGACTGGTTGTGGGGCTCTGAAATTGACATTTTAAGAAACACTCTGAGACAGAACCATAGCTTAGCCCATTCATTTTATCCTTTCCCTTTCTATTCTTTAAGATGTACTACACTAGAATTTTTCCTGTCTTATTATGCTTTCTCGGTTTTTTCCCTCTTTGGCCATGGTTTAAAATTACACTCGCCTCTTTATGTCATTAAACTTTAACTACTTCAATTATCCTTATTATATATCAGTTATTATATATGGCATTGTGGTAGGTATTGGGAGTTAGAGTGGTGAGCTTCTTCTGTCATGGTGCTTATAGCCTAGTAGACAGAGAGCTGTTAATCAAACAGTGATACAAATGAATTTTCAATATTCACTGTGGTAAGTACTATGTTTTGACGGGTTGAGGACAGGGAAGAACCTTGCAGTGTGGAAACAAATGAAGACCAAAAAATGAGAGCAAGCAAAGGCTATTCAGAGCTTGCTAGAGGATGGGAGTTAGCCACCAGTGCTTGTGTTTTGGCAAAGATCCAAAGGCAGGAGGAGGAGGTGGAAAGGAAAAAAGGACGGCTTCAGGTATGTCATAGTTGCAGGCTGTTGGCATAAGGAAGCTGTAGGCAGGTTACTTTGAGGGAGGTAAAATTTCTTTTTTATCCTCTTAGGATCTCTGGCTAAGCCTAAGTATTAAACTGACATATGACAGATTAATAGGAGAAAAACATACATATCTTATTTAGTAATTTTTATATGTGCGTGGGAGCCTTCACAAGAAAAATCAAAACCTGAAGAAGGTAGTGCCCAAAGCTTACATACTAGGTTGGACAAAGAATACTAAATTGTGAAAATGTGACAAGACAAACAAGTTTGGGCTAGGGCAACATCAATTAGAAATCGCAATCCATGCATGTGCCCTGACCAGGAATCCAACCAGTAACCTTTTGTTTTGCAAAATGATGCCCAACCAAGCCACACACCAGTCAGGGCACAGATGGGAGTTTTATGTCCTGCTTTCAGGAAGAGAAAAGGGAGATCGGAGTGCCTTTGTTGCATCTGCTGTTTTTCAACTGCCTGTAACTCAAAATAATTCATATGCCATACCCCCATTGCATAAATCTGCAGGAGCCTTTTTGGCATACTCCTTCAACAGTGAGAGACCTCCAGACCTCCATGTTTGTGCCGGTTCACTCACCGTCAACCAGTGTGCCATTTCACGGGGAGAGTGAAATAACAGGGAGAGTCAGTGTTTTCACCAGGTTTAGACTCTTGCGTACGAATTGCAATAAGTGACCAGAGGCTTCATTGTTACCTCCAAATTTTGGCTTGTTGTTGCTTTAATTGCCTCTTTTGACACCTGGCAGCCCAGGTCTCTCTCCAGTTCCTCTGAGCACTTGACACATTCTATAATTAATTATCTTTATAATTTTATGTGGCGGTATAAGGAAGAAGGGAAGCTAAAGGCATTAATTGGTCACTCAAATTAGCCTAGTTAGGGAGGCGTTTGGTCATTTTGTGGTTTAGACAATCTTTCTGATTTTGTCTGAGTTCAGACATGATTACAGAGTGGTTTCGATCTTGTCTTTATCCCTCAAAATCACTGAGTGACCTGGTCTAATGTCGGTGTGTTGTGAAATGGTTCATATTCAACAGGAGAACCACCTGGTCTGACTGGGAGTGCCAGGGCAGCTCCTGACAGCAGCTGAGCCCAGCTAATAGGGCCAGGGTAATTTCACACTCTCGGGGGCCTTTTTTCTCTTTCTAGCGGCCAAATGTTTTATATAGATTATTTAATTATTACAATATATTGTTATCCTAATTGGTAGGTACTGTTATCTTCATTTTCAGATGAAGAAACTGTGGCTCAGAGAAAGTCATGTGACATGCCAAGGTCACCCAACTAGGAAGGGGACGGATTTGAGATTTAATCTTGGGAGTTCAGATGAAATCACTACATTTCACAAGACACAGCTCAGTAAAAATAAGTATGGTGAGTTCTCACTTAACATTGTTGATAGGTTCTTGGAAACTGCAAGTTTCAGCAAAATGATGTGTAATGAAACCAATTTTACCGTAGGTGAAATTGGTATAAACAAGAGATAAGCACCTGTAAAGGAGTCACTAAAATATCACCAAACTTCTAAATAAAAATCCCAAATACTTCTAATATTAAACATTGAAGTAAATGTGAGCTATACATACATTTTAACAAAATTAATGAAAACTAGTAAAATAATTATATTCTAATCTGCTTATTCTAGTTCAGGGTCTTGGGTACCCGGAGCCTAGCCTAAGAGTTCAGAGCACAAGCTGGGACCCCACCCTGGACACAGTGCCTTTCCACTGAGGGGCCATTCCCACACACAGCCACACTCAGACTGGGACAATGTACACATTCCAGTTCACCTCACGTGCACATCTGTGGGATGTGGGAAGACCCTGGAGTCCCGGGAGAAAACCCATGCAGACACGGGGAGGATGTGCTAACTCCACTCTGAGAATGGCCCCTGTCGGGAATCACATTTTTTCCTCATCATCATTATAATGAAACAACATCCAAGGACCTGCTCTACACAAATAAGAGGCTTTATGACCCACTGGTCATAGATTAGAGAAAGGCAATGAAGATAAATGCAAGGAGATCCTAGTCTTGGTACATGCCCTCTGGGCATGAGCAATTTCTTTTATCTCTTTAAGGCACTGTCCTCAAGCTTTGGGGTCCAGATACATAAAGAGAACTAGAAAGCCGAATTGATTCTAGAAAATCAAGGCAAAGTCTGGTTAAATTATATAACACAAAACAAAGCCAAAAGTTTACTCCTCTAAAGTAAAACAAATCCAGCTCCTTTTAAACTAGGAGTTTCCTGCTTTGCTACATGGATTTCAATAATTCTTGTATTCTTTATAAATCAAATACACATCAGACAGAAAGAAAAGAAAAAAAAATCTGTCAGTGAATAACCATCTTTTATTTCTTTGGGCCTCTATTAATGGTTTAAGAGCAGAACAAATGATTTCATTGATATATTTTGATTAAATGAACTTGGTAATAATCCTGGAGTTAGTCTGAGTGACCTCATGAAGTGGTATCGGAGACTATTACTGGTGGGGTACTCTGTGGAGTAGAAACAATCACTGTTGAAATAAGAACTAAAATTTTTAATGCCGAGCATTGTTGGCATTTATAGGGTAAAAGACAGGCGTAAAACAAAAATTGTGTGATAAGTATGTAATGGGCTCCAGCACCCTGACCGGATATGCAATATAACCTCCCTTATCCTTACACTCATTTGTTATGTATAGGGATTGAACTAAATGATCACTAAGGTCTATTTGAGTTTGTAATGCTGTAACTCTCATGTGTGATTTATTAATTAGCCTTATTTATTATTATTTCTAATATGATTGTGGTCATTGTGTGTGCAGACTAGATGAGCCTGGTATTATCCTATGTATATAAGACTTCAGTATAGATGCTGAAAATTTAAAGTTAGAAGAATCTGAGTACTGTTCTTCCTAGTAAGTACTCGAAAAAGTAGTTGGCCAGTACCTTATAATGTTTCCATCTGAACAAATGGAAGAAAAAACTGTAGGTGCTTCATTTATACTAGATAATGGATTAAACCAAAAAGAAAAAGTATGAAAGCTGTTATCTGGCAATCACATAAAAATTTCAAGACATTTACATTATCATACTTCACCTGAGTGTGTAGTACTGAAATCTCCCGTTTAGAAACATCTGTGAGTTCAAAAGTAAGAAGGACTATACTGGCTGTTACACATTAACTAGTATTGAAGGTACTGAAGATAAAGTCATAGGATGTTTAGAATACTTGCCCTGAGAGAGTCCAGGAAAAAAAGTTCCAAGGTCAAATATCTTTGAGAAATGTACTTAAATCCCACTCTTGAAGGTCCACAGTGAATATTAGCTTATGAAAACCCCTGACAAAAGACCTATTTTACTTAATTTAACTGGTGTTTCCTGAGTTTATTTGACCATAGAACTCTCCTTCTCTCTCTTTTTAATATTATCTGGCATTTTGAAAAATGCCACTTTGAGGAAATACTGATTTTAGGAGTATTTGCTCTTAAAAACAACTTTTTTTTCTTGTGGGAGAGCTTATATCAGATTTATATTTTTAATCAATCTCAATACATAAAAATGTTGATGATTATAATATTTTATAGTTCTTTAGGTTTTCATGTTTATTCACAAATATTTAGGGAACAATCATTTTGTGCCAGAACCTACACACGGTGGTGTAACTGAAAGCAAACAATTATAATCAGTTGCATGTTGGTAAATGTTTAACAAACGTTCCTCAGAACACAGGTTGATCTCAAGTGCCTTGGTCCAGGATTGTCTATGGATTAAATCAGAATGCAAGAGAAGACTGCTTTTGGAGAGTCTCCCATCTCCAGTTCCTAGTCTGACTCTCCTTTCTCAGGAGCTCAAGAAATTTTCCATTCTCTCTCTACTCTTCCTCAGATCAAAACCTCTTAACTTTCAGTATACCAGAAAAAAATAGTCTTCACTATTTACCATCTGGGTCCAAAGGGCCCCTCTAAATTTTCATCTCTTTATGTTATTTCATGAGTAACTTATATAAATTAAAAGGATATTCAGTAAAGCTGTTAAAAAGAGTAAAGGAATAAAGAAAACAACTTTATTGGAAATTTTAATAAGTACCTGAAATAGTGAACCCCTATTTTTGTTCCATATTTTCCCGGTTTGAAGACATATCCAAAATGGCTAGTGCCTTCTAAATGCAGCTAGGCCTGCTCATTATCTGTGTTGCATGAGTCTGGAACATATCCACCTTGTAAATAATGATTGCAGACTTCAAATACATCACTACTATATTGTAGCTTATTGTTTCTTCTGGTTTTTCTTGCATTTGCATTATCAAAACACAAGACTTTTAAGAATTTTTAAAAAAATCTCTAGACTTAAAAATATGTTGAAGAGAGGACATCCATGTTCTTTGCTCCCTAACTACAAAACATTTATATTTTTAGTTTTATAAATGATCAATTCAAATAATTTTTAATTTCTAGATTATCTATTTCCTTCCTATTGTCTTTATATACAAAACTACCACCAGCATTTGTCCACTTAAGAATCAGATCGAGTAAAACTATCCATATAAACATCATAAAAGATGAAAGAAAACTGTAATATTGCTTTAGCAAAATGAGATCATTGAGATTCTTATTGCAGAATATTATGTAATTAAATTATTCTTTGAGTGAATGACTGGATGAGAATATTGTATTCTTGTCACTAGAAATATATTGTTAACTCATTGATTCTTGAGTTTGAGAAATTCATCTAAGAGATGGTCATCTAAAGATGCATAGTCTATGATTTTGCTCTCATTATTAGGGTCTAGAGTGATGTTCTTTGTCTCTGCATTCATCTTCAGAATTCTGAATTCTTAACTATAGTTAATGAAAGCTAAAAGCATAGTACAAAGATCTTGAAAGATGCTACAGTACATTGAGCACTGTGGAAGGAAAATTGAAATATAATGCAATAGTGATGACTTATTTCACTATTTTATCATTTCCGGTAACTCTATCATCTTTCCATTTTCTTAATTCTTTTAGCTTTTTTAAAGCATTGTTTGGAATGATTTTAGTGAGTAATGATGAAATAATACCATGGGTAATGAAGTAGCAGAATGTTTCAAGATATAGGAAAAATAAGAGCACTAATATTTCATGATGTTTCCTCAGTTTACAAGAGTCCAATGGACCCATGTGGTAATTACAAATAGAATAAGCTACATTCTATTTTTAAAAAGATTTTATTTATCTTTAGAGAGAGGGAAAAGGAGGGAGAAAGAGAGAAACCTTGATGTGAGAGAGAAACATTGATTGGTTGCCTCTTGTATGTGCCCCAACTTGGGACTGAATCCACAACCCAGGCATATACCCGGACTGGGAATCAAACCAGAGAACTTTTGCCTTGAAGAAAAATACCCAACCAACTGAGCCACACTTGTCAGGCTGTATTCTTTTTTAAAAATAATTTTTTCTTTGTTCTTGGAAGATATCTAAGAATGAATGTCATAAAATATCAATTGTAAGAAATAGAAGTCCTTAAGAAGAAAACCCCAGAAAACTAAAGGTGCATCCTATAGATCCTAAAGCTACATCTAGGGTTTAAACTCTTAAACTTATTCACATTAAGCACATAAAGACATGTAAATGAATTTATTACATATCCTAACCTCTATTTCATTGAAATAGGAAACAAAAACCTATGTTCAGCTGAAAACAAAGAAATTATGACTTCTTAGATTTTACTGAGCTGGGAGGTAAAGATGCCTTTCTGGGGACCACACAATGAATAAAATTACCAAAGGTGCTATCCTCTGGTTTATTCCTTACTGAATTCCAGGATCCAGAAGGATCCTCTCATCTATATCTGTTTACCGAATTCCTTCTTGGATCCTGTTTCTTTTTGTGAATGTCCTTATTCCACCTTTGTACCATTGCCCACAGCTATTTACTTGCTGTGCTCTTGGTGAAGAATTCTCATTAAGGTGGCACCCTGAGCTCACTTTATTTGCAGTCCTTCACTGAATTTTGGCTTTTGATTCTTATTTCCTCTTCAGGGTTGTATTAAAATTTGATATACAAACTCATTCTCAATCTTATATATCCATTACAGAGAGAAAAGTGGTGCATATCTTATTTCTCATGAATATAAACTTTGAAGAACAAGGATTTGATAATCTCTCCTATTCTGTAGAATGCTTATAGGGCTAAACTTTGCAGGATTTTAGGTATTATCATATAGGGAACTAATTCCCTGAGTAACCCCTCACTGAAAGACTGGGTTGGTCTGAAACTGCCAAGCTTGAACGTATTCCTAACCTGTTTCTATCTGTCCCATTTTGCTCGGCTCTTTTCTTGGAAAGAGAAGCAGAAAATGTGTCGTGATTAATCAGCCAAAGATTGTAGTGTGTGTATGGTGAGTGGGGAGTGGGGGTGGGTAAGGGGTGGTAGCAGCAGTATAGGAGGAAAGAGGTAAACTAACTAGGGATGTCTCAATAGTATGTGAATTCTTCCAGGCCTGGGAAATCGGCCTGTTTTGCCTAAATCATATCACCAGCATCACAACTGTGCTTGGCACACAATAGATGTTCAGAAAATATTTGTTGCACAAAGTGAAAGTGTTACCAGTGATGTGGGCTCTTGGTTCTTGAGTTTGGCAAAGAATTCAGAGTCAAGAACTGTAGTGCAAGAGGAAGTTTATTTAGCATGCAAAGCAAAAGTACACTGGAAGAGATTTGAGCAGGCTGCTCAAAGAGCTGACTTGGCCTTTTATAAAGAAAGTCACAGAGGCAGAATGTTACAGAAGCAAAAGAAGCAGCCTTGGAGGCAGGTTCAGGAAATTAGCTGGGGACGAGCTGCTGATGCCTGCTGCTCCCCTGGTTGCAAGTCTTGTGGTGACCCTTAAAACTTAGGACAAAGAAAGCAACGATACATACCTGAAGAAGGCACGTGTGCGCGCGTGTGCGCAATGCAAGTGAGTATGAGCACACATAAGCAATTGGGTCCTTTGTCTTAATGGTTTTTATCTGTTTTCTAAAGGCAGGAATTTTAGGGGAGGTTTCAGGGGAGGGTCTAACAGAATATTCATCATCTTTCCAGGTGTGCCATTTCGTATGCTGATTCATCAAAATGAGTTACAGGATCAGGGTTGGGGTCTACTGATTGGAGTCTACTGAGTGTTGGGGGAGGAGGGTCATTGGTCATTGCATATGGTCCTAATACCCACCATGGCCATGGCTTCATCTGGTTTTCCTGCTTTTCTGGACCTGGAGCTGAAACACAAAAGAGGCCTAAATGTTATCTCTATTTTGACCAGAACTTTGTCTCTGTGGTCATTGAACCCAAGGCTTTGTTCCTAAGAGTATTTGATGCTGGCCAGACCCTCATTGTGCTGAGGGCTTAAGGCTTAAGGGAGTGGTCTTGAAAGGGAGAAGGCGACCAGTTTGAATGAGCTGTCTCAGTTTCTCCATTCACTTCTTGTCAAGGGATTTTCCAGGCTTCTTACTATCCTGCTCAAAAGAACAACTCACTTTTTTTTTTTTTTTTAAGGTAAAATGTTTGTGGTCTAGGAGTCAACCAGGGCCCTATAGGGCGTAGGATGTTCTAGAGGAGGATGTCTCCATTTCTCCTTCGGGAGCTGAGGAGTGTGTGGGGCTGGCAACGGACGAAATTCCCACCCTTCCTACGGTTCGCATGTGGTAGGATCCGCTGTGCTTCGTGGGAGAGGGGAAGGGCACTCCACCGCACAACCCCATTCTCCGATCGGTTCTGTCGGATCCTGCAGGGTCCGCGTTCCACCTACATGCCTCCATTTGGTTCGTCTGGCTCGCCCTGTCCCGCGGGCTCCTTCCTTACCCCTTCAACTTTCTCCTTCTTGCCCTCTGCCGCAGGTCCGCTCAGCCTTGGTCCCGCACCTTTCCCTCGAGTTCCCCGGCACCTAAGCATAGGTCCCCGTCCCTGCGTTTCCTAGTTCTGTCACCTAGTCCACTGCCCCAGTTAGATTCCAACCAGTCCGCAACCTCACCTTCAGCTTTCCGGCAGATCGCCCCGCCCCTCGGCTCTGTCCGCGCCCCCTGCCCGCCCTTATGCCCCGCCCCTGCCCCCTCCCCTCCCTTTGACGTGGCAGAGGCGGCACCAGCCATGTTGGCTCAGCAGAGTTCTGTGCGGAGGCCGGGGGCGGAGCGGCGCCGGCCCTGATTGCACTGCCGCGGGTCCACCGCTGTTTCAGCTCTTTGGATAGGACTGAATTTGCAAGGCAAGGCTGCGACGGGCGCGGATCTCATAAGGGGAACACGGTGGTAAGGACCGACTTCGGGGCTGCCTCCTCCTCCTGGCTCCTGCGGGGACCGCGGGTGCTCTGCGGGAAGCGGGGGAGGGGCGGCCGTGCGGCGCCTGGGCTGGCTGGCGGGCCGGGGTCTCAGGGGTGGTGCCGGCTCTGCCTTTTGCTGCCTCGGGACAGGCGGGGCGTGCTCGGGCCCCGCGGGGCAGCCTTGAGACCTGAACCTGTCACTCTCTCACCCACCACCCTGTGCTTCATTCTTCCTTGGCCTAGGGGCCAGCCCCCCCCAAGCTTCCCTGGACCAGGTGTTGGGAGTAATGTGAGAAAAGGCAGCTTGAGCATCTGGCCCAGCACCCCGCCCCCGCCCCCGAGGTGGTCTGCCTTCCTTACCCCGGACTGTCACTGCTTCTGGGCACTTGGACTTCTCGTTTCATTCTTTGCCACATCTGAAGTGGCCCAGACTTTGAACCGAGGTTACTCGTCACCCGTAGTTTGGCCTTGGGAGTTAAAGGGTAAAAGCCTACGCCTTGGGCCTCGATTATGAAGAGTTCACTTTTCAGATCGGACCTATCTTACCGGCTCTAGTGTTTTCCCTTTTTGGTGGGAAAGGAAAAGCCATAGAAAACTTAAACCACTGGAGTATGTTTGCTGAATTAACGTTTCCATGTGAACTCACTCTCCACCCCTCAAAGCCAAATTAACTTGGTCAAAAAGGTTTTATATTTAAATACAGATGTAAATATACATACATGTTAAATTTTCTTATTGTTCTTTCAACCATTTTTAATTGCCTTAGAACTTTAGAGTTAGAAAGGGTCTTGTAGTTTTCTAGCACAAACTCCTCATCTTACAGATGAGTAATTGAGGATCCGAGAGGTTAAGCTATTTGTCTAATATAAAGTTGTTCATTGGAAGTAGTTGAGGACACTTCGTTGAGGATCTTGCAACCAAAAAGTAGGAGGCACATTTCCTTTTCTGTTAAATACATCTGATTGGGAAGAAGTGCATCTGATTTAGGATGTTTTTCACTTAGTTATCTATCCCCTGCCCCAGGGGATAAAATGGGAATGTTGAAAAATTGTATCATAAGTAAAGCCTTTTAAAGTACTGTGGGCATGTTTTTGATATGCTAGGTTAAAGTCATACACTACTTTGTGTCTTTGCTTTTAGTTTAAATAAATTCCATGGGAAATTATTTAAAGTAACTCCCACTGATTATAAGTTGTGCTGAAAAACGAAACATTTGTTTAGAATGGTCTTTTGTTTTATACCACTTAAAAATGTATAGGGACTAATATGTTAAGTCTGCATGCTATTATAGCGTCTGAGTCATATTCATTTGGGTTCATAGTTTTATGCAAACATAATATTAGGGGAGAGAGTGCTTATCAAATAATGTGATTTTATAAAAAGCTGGTTTGTAAAAAGGACTTGAATTTAGATATGTGATTGTTGGATATAGGACCAACCCTAGCAAATTTTGTGCTAGAATTAGTGATTTTAAGATTAAGTAGTTGCATGACTATATAATTGTACTAGTTAAGGTGAAACAGATGGGATGCTTTTAAAATATGCCAGAAAGTGAGAATGTAAGAAATAAAATAGAAGTGATTTAGTGAGCAAATATGATCTTAAAGCAGAGAGATAGTGAGCAACGGGGGGGAGTTGTGCTCAAATATCACTCAGGTGATACTTAGTATATCTTAACAAAAGTAAGGAGCGGAATTACAATCCAGCTTTGTTACCCATTGTAGAAACTTAAACCTGGCCGTTGCCTGTGTGTAAGTGTCTTCATGCTAAGTCTCATAGGGCCTTTTTCAACTAGGATCCCTGATTGAATTGAGCCCTGATGTCCGAATGGCAGTGGTCGTTAGGACCCCTTAATCTTTTTTTTTTTTAAAGATTTTATTTATTTATTTTTAGAGAGAGGGTAAGGGAGGGAGAGAGGGAGAGAAACATCAATGTGTGGCTGCCTCTCATGCGCCCCTCCCTGGGGGCCTGGCCTGCAACCCAGGCATGTGCCTTGACTGGGAATCGAACCAGCGACCCCTTGATTTCACAGGCTGGTGCTCCATCCACTGAGCAACACCACCAGGGCAGGACCCCTTTATTCTTAAACATAATTGAGGATTCCCTCTGCAACCCCATTTTGTTTAATAGAAGACATGTGTCTTGTCTTCCTTTCCCCTCCCTCCCTCCCTCCCTCCCTTCTTCCCTCCCTCCCTCCCTCTCTTCCTCCCTCATTTTATTTATTTCTTAGAGGGGAAGGGAGGGTGAAAGAGTGGAAGAGCAACATCGATGTGCAAAGAGAAACATCCAACGATTGCCTCTCCTACATCTGCAACTGGGGCCCTGGCCCGCAGCTCAGGCATGTTTTCTGATTGGGAATTGAACCTTTTGGTTTGCAGGCCTGTTCTCAACCCACTGAGCAACACTGGCCAGGCAGACTGGTGTATTTTCATATCTACTGCTACATTCAATCTGTTGTGATACATCTTTTTGATTGAATTGTGTGAAGGAAATCTGGCTCATAGGTATGTAGCTGGAAAAAGGAGGGCTATTTTCATAGCTTTCTCAGATAATTGTGCATACTCTTCTTGGATACTACACCAGAAATGAACAGTTTTAATTAAGAAATCAAGGGTTAATTGCAGTGTGGAATCTGAAATCTTAGAAGTGAACTTTTTGTACTCTGTTGCATTAAAACCCATTGGTCTGTTGAATGGATTGTTTACTCATGTATGATTTTGTAACATCATGAATTGATCATTTTGTTACAGGCTTTGGGGTTCTTGGGTTTCCCAAGATAGAAGTTGAGAGGAAATTTCCAGACAGATTTTATTAAGTTTATGCTTGAGCACAGGCAGACAGCAGAGGAAAGGAAGGTCCTCTTGAACTGGCTCAGAGGATGGCTCTGCTTGGCTGCTTTTATAAGCTGGGGACAAAGAGGGCTTACGTGAAAAGATGGGCTTGTGACGGTTCCAGAGTAGAAATTTCTATGTTAGGTTACTTGGCGACTTTCTCCCCAATGCGAGCTGGGGGTAAAATGATGGTGTTACTCGTTACTGCCACCCCAGGAAGTTCATGTAGCTGCTAAACCTGGATCAACTGTTTATGTGTAACCATGGTTTGGACATTTTTTGGCCACCTGGTCTTTATTTGGTTTCTTGGCATCCTGGTATTTTTTCATTTCTGGGGCCCAAGTCTCTATACTGTCTCAACCTGGAGATACTGCTTTATTGAATAATGTTTATCTTCCAAATGTTGACATGTTTTGTTATGCAGTATTTAAAACAAATCACATTGATATCACCGCTGATATGAACAGAAAATCTTTACATATTAGGAATTTGCGAAGCTCATGGTAGTGGATACAAGTTCTCAAAAATTGTAATATTTACTTGAAAGTTCAAATTTTGTCACAGGCGACAAATAGTGTCAGTTGTTTTCTGGGCAACACCTCACTTCATCCATTTTAAGAAAATGTATGAGAAATACATAAGTACTAGTAATGTACCATTCTTTGAGAATTGAGAAAATAGTCACTAAAACAATTTTTTTTGTTTTGTTTCTCGTGGTTCAGATGAACAACCTTTATTGCTCTTGTATATTTTAATGCTTTTTAGTGCTGCATTTTAGATGCATCTTAGATTATAGATTTAATTAATGAATAGAAAACTTCATTTTTTTGTAGAAATAATAAGAGGAATTACATAGTCCTAGAATTTAGATTCACATCTGTAGCATGGAAGCTGTTGCTAAACACTGGATTTCTCTCCCACAGGAGGTTGTTTCTCATGCTGTTGCCTGTGTTAGAACTGAGGTTGGCATCTTATAGCTCCCCTCTATCTCAGGCCTTTGTTTTACCATTATGTTTCTACAGCCACTTTTTTCTTGAAAGCTCATACCATCCTTCTCAAAACTGTCTCTATTTGCCTTCAAGATAATCTTTTCTAAGTAAATTTAGCTATCTTAGAATTTCTTCTTATTCTGTCAACCGTTGGAAAAATCCATGGTTGCTCTTGATTAACATAAGATTATCTAGCTGCCTTTCAGATTCTGATAGGAGAAAATAGTGTTTAATTTTTATTTTATTATTAATTGAGGTGTAATTGGCATCTTATTTCTTTTTAAAGAGTTTATTTATTTATTTTTAGAGAGAGGGAAGAGAAGGAGAAAAAGAGGGAGAGAAACTTTGATATGTGAGAGAAACATCAATCAGTTGCCTCCCGCAGGCCCCCAACCGGGACACAGGTTGCAACCCAGGCATGTGCCCTGACTGGGAATTGAACAGGCAACCTCTTGATTTGCAGGATGACACCCAATCCACTGAGCCACATCAGTCAGGGTGGCATCTTAATTCTTTTAAGAGTTTATTTATTTCTTTTTAGAGAGAGGGGAAGGGAGGGAGAAAGAGAGGGAGAGAAATATCAGTGTGTGGTTGCCTCTTGTGCGCCCCTTACTGGGGACCTGGCTCGCAACCCAGGCAAGTGCCCTTACTGGGAATTGAACCAGTGACCCTTTGGTTCGCAGGTTGGCACTCAATCCACTGAGCCACACCAGCCAGGGCTGGCATATTCTTTTAAAGAAGAGGAAGTTCTTAGCTACTTAAGATACTTAGATTTGTTAAGCTTCACTTTCTGTAATTTGTATTATAAAAATCTATTTGTGAATTTTTCTAAAATTAAAATTATTATTGTATATAATATGCTTTTATCAAATTATACTTTTCCTTCTCTCTCTTATATTTGAGGATCAGATCCTTATCCCATAGTTGTTCTTAGCAACTTCAGCATCTGTGTTGGCTCTTTTGGCACCCTATCTTCATAATTCTTCAGTTCATAATGTCCTTTATATTCTCCCACAAATGTTTTGGCCAGCCATGTAGCAGTTGAAACTCTATCCTCCCAGAACCTTTATTTTTTAGTTTCTTACCATTACTAACTACTGGTGCAGTTTGAGAGCATTAGAGAGAATTGTTGCTTCGTTAGGAAAGCTGGCATCCTAAACAGGCAGTCAGAGAATAATAAGATGGAGATGGTGCTTGATATTTACTCCTAACAAGAGTGGCGTCCCCCTCCCCTAGGAATAAGTTTACTACCTCTTCTTGGGCCTGATGGGCATTGTGTTCAGTAGAGTCATTTGTTATTTTGTTATCAGTGGGATTATTGTTGCTTGCTAATTTTTTTCCTGAGATAAATATTTTCATTTGGTCCCGATTTCTAATGAATTAATAGCTGAAAGCAGGAAAAACATACTTATTTTGAATTTTCTCAAGAGAATTTGAAAATATCTTTTAATTTTTTTGCAGAAATAAGAATCAAGTTCTACAATGACAACCTATTTGGAATTCATACAACAAAATGAAGAACGAGATGGCGTCCGATTTAGTTGGAATGTTTGGCCATCAAGTCGACTGGAAGCTACAAGAATGGTTGT